TGCACTCCCTTGAGGTCAAAGGGCACATGTACCCCACGCCAACGCGTCCGACGCTTCAAGCGAGTATTTGACGACTCTGTTTCGCTGCAAGTTCTGAACCTACCCACCACCCTTTTTCTCCTCTCATTGACAGGTGCGAGTGGACTTCGGAGTGGAAACTCGTTGGTATGAGCACCTCTACTGACCAGATCTTTATAATGCTCTGCACATCAGATAGAAGTCTTGACCATACAGCAGCCAAGGTTGCTGTGATGTGATAGTGCCGCAGTGCAGTGCGTAAGCTACTTCAATCATGACTTCAGTACGGTGTTCCATTTCAAACAGTCTCATGTGGACAGGGAGAAATCTTCTATCCAACATCCTCTCTGAACGCTCTTGGACAGAGGACCAGTTTCTGCTTGATTATTATCAACGCCACATGCAATGCAATGTTCCAAGAGATAAGGCTCAGAAATATGTAATAGAAAGCTTGTACCACGAGCGTGTAATCAGGGTCCATAAAAAAAGCTGTATTTCATATGCTTACGAGGCGAAGAAAACATACGATAGAAGTTGATTCATGGACCACGCTGAGAACTTGAATTGGACAGGAAGAGCCCTATCGCAAGATACAAAGGAAGAGTGTATGGAGTACAAACACATGGACCGGACCAAGATCGAGGTACAGAGCTTTTGCATGGTTGAGATGCTTTGAATCTTATCTCATGTAGAATAGTTCTGATTCCAAAATTCTTTAGAATCCTACAAGCACACATTCATAAGCTGTCAGAATGATGATATTTGACTATCAATGATAAATCAGACATATAAACCGCTGTCGGTACCTTTAAACATTTGTTCAAGGTAGGGTTGGGTTCAGTTTTAAAACATATGTAAAAGCGGGTGTGCTACTAAGAGGTTTTTTTTTTTGTATTAAGCTAGGTATGCCTAGCTTAGCTGATAAAACCTCTGAAGTGACTTCAGACGCAACCCAGGACATGTATATCTCGTTCGATGCGTGGTCAAGGAGGTAGTATCGGGATATGAACAGGTAAACGACTGAATGACATTTGTAGAATTTGATGGCCGGCTCAACATAAATAGTGGATATATCGATAGTGATGTTGTATCAGCCTTGAATAAGGTGAACAAGACATTGACCAAATACAAACTTTATCTGTCAATGATTTTTTGTATGACAATGTTTACAGAATACAAAAGTACAAATCTGACAAAAGAAAGTCATACCCTCTGACAAATTTCTCTGATCAATCCATCACTTACCGTATTTTATTTTATTTTTACCAGTCACATGGTGTCAACTCAAATCAATTCACCTATGCCTGGAGTAGTTTATACGGAGAGGGGTTGGGCCGGAACTCCGGTGAGCACTGCCTACAGCTCACTGTTCACGTTAGCTCACATCACAAACAGAGGTTAACCTTTTACCAGAAGGAAATTGTCAATTTATGTCCATGGGACGATATATAACTCCTGTTAGGATGTACTTCGAAGGAGAGAAGAAAAGAAATCACCATCACAACCAAACGTGGATCAAGAATGGACATGACGGGGTTCAGATCCAGTTTGCAGTTAATAGCACTTGAAATGAAAGACTTCCCATCCCCAGCTGGTAACTAGTAGCACTCTGGCAACGAGAAGACATGGGTCCAATCCACTTACCATGTCCGTACTGTACTCGAAAGCTGAAACTGCCACTGTCCCTGAACGCAAGGTAGTTTTGATTACCCGTGTAAGGCCTACTGTAGCCAGTTATTTCGACCCTTTAGGAAGCTCTCGGCCTCAGTGTGAACCCAGCCGAACTCTCCCATTTACTATGCACGGTAGTGGCAGACTCGTGTGGGTTGCAGACTTTTCGACCGTTTTCCCAACACAGTACATCACAAGTGTCATGAATTGCTTCTGAAATTTATTCCCTGCACGAACAGAAAACTACAGATTGGGTACTTAAATACGCAACAGCGTGCATGCCCTCAACTACCCTGTGTACCAGACCGGTACCGAATCATGTACTGTACAGAATTAAAATACGGATATATTAATCTCTTTTAATTGTAACGAACGGTGACAACCAGCAGAGAGGGGGAAAGATAGTTGCATGGATGGACTAATGTCTTCAAGTGTTCATCAGACCACTTCTCATAAACACATCAGACCAGTCCGCTTGACATGATTGTATATAGTTTACTTGCTACATAAGCTTGTACCACTCGGCATCTTAAACCTAAAACCTCTCCCCTTCCACACTCCAATACATACACAGATACACTTTTTCTTCATACATCAGAGATCTGCGGCTTGCAGTTCTACAGGCTAGAATAACCTGGCTTCAGTTGACCTTAGAAAATTTGACAGAAAGGAGCAGGGCTCCGGACATATCAGTGGGCACAGACCTCCAGACTTGACTCTCTAGGCCGAACTTGAGTCTGGATAACACGGGGTCAGGCTACATGGACTGGATGCACTGCGAACATATCTTCACCGTTCTTGCAGGACCTGTCAATGCAGCTTAATCTACAGGTCCAATGAACAGGAAATTTTATTTTCTGAGTTCATCTGAGCTCCCTTGACACACTCTAGTCCGTTTGCACAAGGTTTTCGTTGTTTTTATTTTTTACCGCACCATTGGTAATTCCTTATACTTCATTGACCAGCTTTGATTTTGTTCTAGTTATACCTTTTTCCAAGAGCACACATTCATATAATATCAAACTTTTTCATCTTATTGCGTTAGTCCAGTGCATCATGACGTATTCATATGTCATGTATGAGTCTAATAAAATCTTAAAGAAAATAATGAGTATACATAGATTAAATTTATTTCAAATTTCAGAAAATAGCTTACCATGAGATAACTACGGTTTTGATGCTTTTTGAAAGTGTTTACATCATACGAAATTAACGGGAAGGTATTTTGCAATTGATTAAATTAAGAAAGATATCTAATATACATGAAAGAACCAAATTATTCTTGCATATGGTGATAGTTATGTATTTTACAGAAGTGGTGATTATAATCATTCGGCACGACGAATGGGATAAAAAAAATAATATTTATTATATAATAGGATTTAGGTTAGTATTATCTATACATAGAAATCCATCTCTAGTTATTTAGATTTACTAAATATGTAAAAAATTTATGCAAAAATATGTAAGATATCATATATTAATATCATGGAAATTTTTTTATAAGGTTTCTTAATTTGTATTAAGGAGTAAATTCAAATTATTTTACATAGCTAGTTAATGCTATATACAGTAAATAATTATTCTTATTGATATATTAAAACCTATAACACACCAGTAGTAAGATCTAATATAGAGAATGAATAATCGTATATGTCATAATTCTCGTTGTAATACTATTGCATGTAATCATCGCTTGATGGGGATTTGCATATCTGCTATACTTATTGGATGTCTATTGTGCCCCGAGTTTCTCATTTTTCCGACATGCCAAAGACCAGTAATGTGTGCTACGAGGTTTTCTGTGTTACTTTGTCATCTATGTGTTTTGTCGTTACTGATCCTCCTATTATGAGTTGTATTTACTTAAAATGTTCTCCACCTCCCTGAGGTGCCAATACAATGGTGATTATCGTTAGAGCAGAGCAAAGACAAGAAAGGGTGTACGTACAAAGTATGCGCACAACAGATTGTTCCTGAGGTGCATGCCGTTCGAGCAGTTCTTCCAGGTCGCATGACGCGTGGCTCCACATCACCCTCCTTCCATGTGAACGGATTTTAGTTGCGTCGCTACTGGTATCTCGTTAGAAGCAAAACCCATGACACATTTGTTGTCATCTGCATGGCTCGGCTTTCGAAGGGGCTTCGAATTTGACCGGGGAGATTCGATATATGTGAAAATGTACTTATATTTCACATAAACCATTTCTATGGCCATCTACCATCTCTTAGCATGCCTATTATTGTGGACTACCTGATAGGGTTACATCTTCTTGACTCGATCAAGTCCCTGTATGAGCGAGCTTGAGTATATGTGGTAATCTGACTTTCACAATCTGCCTAGCAAAGATTCCAAATGTTGATTGGTGAAGCATCCTGAGTGCTCGGTAAACAAGCTTCTTAACAAACAGTTTCGTCTTACTTCTTTTGGTAGGAGTGCCGTGAGAACCTTCATGCAATATTTGAAAGAATAGGAGGTGGAACAAAATTAATTTTGTATCAAACCTACTGCTGCTCACAAACAGGGTATGGAATACATCTGACTATCTTCCGGCCGACATACTGCCTTCTTTCGATCTTTTCCAGCTCTACAGGATACATCTTTCGGGACTAAAGTATGGTGGTTTCTAGTGCTGTTCTGTTAAACGCTACGCGTTTAACCATTGTTGAATTTAGCTATCCAAATCTGTCCCCCGAGAACTGCAGTACTGTACTGTTAGTCGAAAAACAGACAAACTGCATTGTCTGAACATATCAAGTGTCGTTTAAATCTAGTATTTCCAGCTTCGAAGTTCGATACATATATTCTGAAATGCTGAATTTACTGAATAACTGAATTGACTTTCATCATCATAAAAAGTCCAAAAGTTTCATGAGCTGTTTAAGAGAAGAGTCTATGTAACACTTGCAACTAAATTAAAGATATCGGTACTTGAAATGTTTGCCTGGTCTTCCTACTTCAACGCAATACATATTTCGACAAGGTGGGTAATAAGCAAAGAATATGCTACTTCATATGCATCTTTACCCTTCGGCATTAGCAGAACTGTCCCATGTCAAGTATAGCAAACGCACAAAGGCCAACTGCCCTGAGCCGGGTCAGGTCAGTCTGCGTTCATGGGAAGGGTAGACAGGAAATCAAAATTAGCAATCAGACACTACTGCATGGATGTTGGTATTGATAGGGACCATAGACTGGTACTGTAGTCATACCACTCGAATTGCAACTGAAAAGTAGTCTGTATTCGGGACAAGATCGCACTGTGATGAGACGGACAGTTACAACTTCGAGGAAAAAAATTAGCTACCATCATTTTCATCATTAGAATACCTACGCCTTGGAGTGTAATGTTTATGATAGCGTAAGCTGTCTATTGCTCTTCCGCTGTATATAGAGAAGAGAGGACTAGGAGGCAAAAGGTCCTGCTGAACATTGCAGCCAATAAGAGGTATAAACAAAGATTGGATAGTCGAAGCAATTAAATAAGATATAGCAACTGGCATGACTTACATTTGCATATCTTATCCACGATCTGCTTGGATAGTGAAGAAGTCAGAAGAGAGGCATCCACGATCAGTCGTTGTTCCTGGTTCCTCGATTTCTGTTGTATATCCTTGAGATTAAATATTGTGCTCTCTATTCAAAATTGCAAAAAGAAAAAGGAGTTAAAATAATAATGAATAGAAAAAGTTAAGATGATGGCAAACTCGAAATACACAAAAGGAAAATCGGCAACCAAATATGGAAACATGCAAAACTATTTCAAAATAATGTTTCACCTAGCAACTGCTTCTTTTTCCTGACGAGGAGGGTCTGGATCATAGAACTTAGAAATATATATAAATGTTAGGTAGAGATGGCTCTCTGGACAGCCTTGAAATACGGAAGTCTGGCAGATTCCTACGGTCGTGTTAGAAGAGCAGGCGGTATATGTATCATCTGTCGACTCGACTGCAGTACAGTACTCCTGGAATAATACTGTTTGCCTACAAATGTTTGATCTCAGTCACACGATCGATTCTTCCACGGTGCATATTCGAAAGGTAGCAGCATATTACTGTACCTCCTTGGGCAGAGTGCGGGAGGCTATTGGGTTGGGGAAGGCCTTCTTGTATGAGTGGAAGCCATCAGTATAGAGCGACGAGGGCAATACCCTTCCAAAATGTGAAGTTGGGTAGTGGAGCGGTGAGTGGCTTTCATGATGGGCGACCGATGAGCCCATCATTCAGCTGCTGTGAACCGCCCGAATCCGGAATTTGGACCAGAGGTCGGGATCGCTTTTTGTTTCTTTCTCGAAAGGAGTCGCTTGCTGGTGATGATGACATAGCAGACCACTGTTTGCTTTCATCACCTCTCCGGTTACAGCCCCCATCATCCAAGAGCGCTCATCCTGGAACTTGCAGGGTTGGTGACCCTGAAGGGATTCTATGATTGATTTTGGATTCGGTTGCATGTTTCTAGTTTTGGATCTGCGTAGCAATTAATCGCTGTTGTATGATTAGTTGTGTCTGAGTATGCATGCTGAGTACTGTATATCTAGGCTCAAAGTTATCTCGTAGCCTTTCGGTCTACTGCCGTGTCGGACCCAGCGGTTCCACTGAAGTGCCCAGTCTTGACTCTATTGAAGCATGTAAAATATGGAGACAACTGGCAAATATTGTCAGGGTTTGACCAATCGACGACGTACAGGAACTGCCATATGTATGAAGTCCATCGAGCGATTGTGGGCAGGTTCACTCCACAGGTTGTTCATGCTAACCAAAGTGACAAGGGCCTGAAAGACAGGAAGAGTACTCAAAGATGCTCGTCTTGCAATACAATGTAGCCCAAGAAGAATCGCCTCGGATATAGAAGTCCCTGTAGTTATTCCAAGGCATGGGAGCTTGTCACTATAATACAATTCTTTTCTAGGAGTTTTAAGAAGGCGCCTTACCCTCGACGATATCTCGCATCATTGATGTTCCCCTTTTACTTGGCGTTTTGCTATATAACGAAAGAGGCAGATTCCAAAGGCTCGCTGGCAAAGGAGCCGAAATGGCAAGTTTTTCTTGCAAGGAATGAAGATGCTGGACCACCATCTAAAATCCACATCCTGCAGCTTCCCATTTATTAACCACCTAATAGCAAATATTAGTTATGCCTACTCATGGATCGTTCTATTTGTGCAAAGAAAGGAAGAGAAATGGGTCCTACCCATACTCAAATCAATCTATTGTTGCTCAACCTACCAACATGAGTCAAACATACCCCATTTCATCTCTCATGTGTTGCACACGAACGCCGGTGGACCCACAACCACGGAACTTCGGAACGGACATGGCGGGGTGCGCAAGCTGCCCACCCAAACAAAGATGCGCTCTGCGGCTGTCTCATGAAATCACCACCAACAATGGTCCACTGCATCATTGAGCGACAACAGATTACAACCCTGAATGAAGAGAGAAGCGATCTGGATGACGAACAAACGAGGCCAAGCCCATTACGTCCTCCTCAAGGCTGAAGGTGTTGCTGGTGGTCGAGAACTCACCGATGGAAGAGCGACGGGAAAGGCCTCAATGGCAGGCAGACCCCGCCGAAGTCTGACGACGGCCGATCTCGTTCCGCAGAATGGATGCACGGGCGAATACGTCGCCGTATAACGGGGTGCCGGGCGGGCATTGTCTTGGACCTCGAGATTACTGTCGGATGATAAAGACAGCATTGATCTGGGAATTTGCACAAGCCGAGCCAAGGAGTTTGGACAAGACGCCATCGCCAGGCAAGAGAGAGAGCCCACTGTCGATCAGAGCCGGTGGGGCCGCCCGATGACGTCGGCGGAACGGCAGCGGGCAGCGGCCTACTGCAGTAGGCTGTGGTCCGGCCCAGCGCATACTGCGTACACCGCCGCGCCCCTTGGCCTGAACTGCGTCGCCTGACTGACTGCGGGTGACGAGGGGAGTGGCACTCTTAATGACCGCTTGTTGCGTAGCTCCTTCGTGCCTCTGATGCGACTTCAATCTCCGCCAGTGCTCGCTCATGTACAGCACCACTAATCGGAACTATCCATTCTCGTCTCTGCGCACACCAATCCCGGGGCCGACGAGTGTGACAATTCGCGAGACCGGGTCCGGAGCAGCCGAGTGGATATATAATCATGAGCTTCGCATCTCGCCCCTCTCCTCCGTTCTGCCTGCCTGCCGCGACTCTGATTTCGCTTCTCCGTGTTCTCTGAGGGTCGTGATTCCGCTCTCATTAAGTGCCCTCGGCTGCGTCAGCTCGATGAAGCCTCTGTAAACCCGAGCGATCTTTCTGTGGCAAGGCGTAGTGTTGGGCTCGTCATTCGGGAGAAGTCAGGCGAGCGGTTTCTTCGCATGAACCTCTCTGCAGCAGATCATACTATGGTGATGAGTGGACTCAGAATTGGGAGGAGGAGGAGGGAAGGCGTCCGAGGAAGAAATTTCCTTCACTTGCTTGACGTTTCCACTGGAGGCGAAAGACTCGCTGTCTAGAAGTCGTCCGCAGTGTGTACTTATCGTGGTGATTTCTCTCGTTACGTCACTCGATGTATCGGAACATTTCAGCTTTCTCCTTCTCGCAATTCCCATTGCAGAGATGATGTGAGCCTGAGACCGGAGTGCTGATAGTTGGCAGAGGTCGACATTGTCTGAATTGCTCAAGGACCAAGGACCAAGAGCGCAATGGCGGTAGTGAGCGTTCAACTCGTCAGCAAGGCTGCTTCTGAGAAGCTGTCGATGAAATATTCTGATCTTTCGGAGCCTCCGGAAGTGATTGGTCCGGAGCCGAAGCGGCTCTCTCTTCAGTCATTTCTCCACTCGCATTTCGCCAATTCTCCACGGAGGACCTCCATGGATGAATTCACAGACGCCAGCCACACGTTCGACTCGCGACGTCTGTCGACAACTGGGGATTCTCGAAGAGCCTCCGCGGAGTACTATCCAAATTTGAAACAAGAAGCTTTCGTAATCTCTGTGACCCCTTTGAATACAGAAAAGGTGGGGCCGAATTTCTTGCTCAGAAGCAGCCCAGCTCCGAGCACATTCTCGGCACCGAGCACATTAATCAAGAAGGCCGCCAGCGGATTGCCGGCGAACTTGACCAAACCACGACCGAAGAACTACGAACATTTGAGCTTGAAATACAAGGTGAGCCAACACGGCGCAGCTTCCTCCATCAGAATCGAATTGCCTCGAGGCGCCTGCTCTCTCTCTCTCTCTCTCTCTCTCTCTCTCTCTCTCTCTCTCTCTCTCTTGCATGGCATTATCTCACCAGATTCCATTCCTGAAAATGAGGAGAACAGCAGCTTGACTACAGTTCTTGGACTCTCTTTTGCCTCGCAGAGTCAGACAGATAGACATGCAGATGTAACACTACTTGCGCTAATTGTATCAATTTCTTTTGTTTTGCAGCTACTTTACCTCTGCGGTGTCTCGAACATCGACATGGTAGACAACTATGTCTCCATTCCAAGATAGCCAACAAAGGACAATGTGGAAAACCCATTATTTTTCAACAGCGGAGACTAAGTCCGCGCTGTTAACAATGTCAAGCCGTGGCTAGATGTCATACGTTCTTCACCACTAGTTGAGAAAAGAAGGTGGGGAGCAATGTACTGGACCGAGAAGCTCCGATCGATCTTGAAAATGGCACTGGATCTCACATTGTCTTTGGTTCTTGATGAAATTTGCCCGAGGGCACTCTTTCAGCAGGCACGGACCGTTACGGAAAACTATAGAATTGTTTCTCCAAAGCCATATAAGCCTCTGGAACATGCTAGTAAGAACAAAATCCAGAGCAATTTTGTACAGTGAGCGAACTTGCGTCAGTAATGTGATGAACAAATGTTGTATAGGAGCTCTTCAAGCCAAAGATGCATCAGTTGAGTTGACGGGACTTCAAAGATCCTTCTCTCGATGATTACCATTGCAGGCTGTGTGCCTTGATCAAGAATAGTTTCTAGTTGAGATCAGTAGTATGGCTTACCTGCGAGAATGACTAGGAGTTGCAATGGTTCCACAAGAAGTTATTGGCTTGTGAATTCCCACACAAGTCCCTTAAATCTGAATCTGTGTGATTCATACGTCTTCACGGTACGATGAATCCGAACATGCTCAAATCAGGATTGTAGAAAGTACGATAGGTAACTTCATTAATTAGAACAGCGATCAGCTCTTGGACAAGCGGTCCATATGACACCAGATTTTCAACTTCAAATTTAAATCTCATCGCTTTCTTTTATGTGTCCACGACATGTGTCATTTTATTCATCTCTGTGAGAGAATACTTGCGAGCTATTATGTCCGCAAGGAAAATCTATATGTGGATTACTTGGAGTCACAAAGAACACATCGCTACTAAACTGGAGCGAATTCCTCCCAGCTGCGGTATAAGAAGTCCGGTATTACCCAAAGCGTACAAGCGATCAAGTCTTGAGAGAAGAACAAATGGTTTAGCATCCAGAACCACTTGAGAACGGTTGCAACGTGACCTCTTTGTTACTATAATTGCATTTTCATCATTCTACTTGCAACTGAATGGAAACTACAGAGACGAAGCACAGAATAATAATCAACTGCTATGTTCCACTAGATTTGATTGAAATCATAACAACTTGACAATCAGGATCTACTGGCTCGGATCCTGAACGATAATAGACATCACTTAACTAAGTCTAGCATCAGAAAGTACGTGGACCCTCGACATCTGAAGGTTGGGTACAATGTGGGGCCGCAAACTTTGAGGGAAAGAGACGGCTAAAGGAAGTTGACAGAGTTCCAAACGCGCCTGAACATCATGTTTTTGAATTCTGACGAGTCTGTCAGACCTGACGGCCTACCGACTCTGCAATCTCGTGTAAGCAAAGAGGTATGCTCGAAACTTGTCTTTCAGTGCGAGTGCCTCGTGCAATTGTCTGTCACCTTTGGAGAATAAAGCTGAAGGAAAGAGAAGTGCAGCTTTGAGATGATCATGTTGTGGAAGATGAGTTGTTCCAGCTCTGGATTTGTGTTGTAACATTCAACCCAAAGGAGGTCTCCCGGCACCCCACCCGCATTCCCAAATTACGTCATCAAATGGCCGCCAGTTATGTTGGAATATCCATTCTTCGTCTCGTTTCTCTTGCAGTAGTCGATGTCTTCCAAAGGTTAGTCTTCATGGGTACCTGAAGACCCTTTGATCCCACATTCTAGACCATGTTCTGCGCCGTACCTTCGAAACACTTCAACTGGAGCTAACTCCACAACTTTCGAGGTCAACAGGAAAAAGGATTACCACAACGAATTTCGTCATGATAACGAGAAAAGGAAGGAATATATGTGATTGAAAGGTCACGGGAATCCATCAGATTACTAGGCGCTGGAGAGATGTGAAATAGTCGCTGCATCATGACGTCTTCTTGTCTTCCGGTGTATGCATGTACTTTCAACATTCCAAAAAGGAAATGGACCACCTCACTGGCAGGTTCACAACACCCATACGGATGACGTACAATATCAGTCAAATTGGAACTTTAGATTTTGTTTACCTTCCATCGGTACTTATTATGCTCAGTGAGCCATTCGAGGGTCTCAACTGGGTAACTTCCACCTCCTAACTGCAGAACTCCCACTCTGAACTGAACACGTTGAACACGCGGTTGATCCGTTTTCCCTTATCCAAGTTCTCCTACGTCCACTACTTAAGAAGGACGCGAAAGTGAAGTAGCATGCGGTATCCCAACATTGGAGTCGCCTACGCCTGTGGGTTTACTAGCATTGACAGCCGAGATGACGAGGATTGCTCTCATCTGTTAGGATGTGTTACCTCATCTGGTCAGATAAGAACTATGTGAGGTTGCTAACTCGGGACCAAAAGTTGCGCAGTACGTGGGGTTAGTTATCGACACCATGGACATGTCGATCCATGCATCCATCTAGAGGTTTGATTTAAGTTCATAAAATGTGGCGATGACCATCGCCGGGAATATATAGCTACGAAGGCAAGATCTTTTACTGTGATATTAGCTCTTGTTATCTACGATCTTTCATGCTTTAGTAAACAAAGGGCCCGAAGGAGATGCCCAGAGTTTCCAAATATGTTAGACCAGTTTATAAATTTTAGGCTAAAGCTCAAAGAAAACAACAAACTTGGGGCTTTCACTTTTCAAATTGTTTAAATGGTATTTTTGGTCGAGTTTCGGTATAGCATAGATTCTAACCGGTTCAAGTGACCAAGATGATATGGAAACCACTGATTCTCAACTCTCATCGATAAAAAGCATTGATACCATTCCTCTAGAGCAATGTTTCAGCATTCTGGTCACCTTCATTTCAACTTCGTCCACCCTAGAAGTCTCACCGGACCGTGCAATCTTGATTGGCTCAAAGTATGACAAGATGCTCTCCCCTTTTGGTTGCTTGCACCACACGGAGCTCTTTCGAACTTCAATCAACTGACTTACAGTGGCTGAAAACACCACTGACTCACCTTGGCCCATTTGAAATAATGCGACAGTGCGTTGCAGGGCAGGTGGATTAGACAATTGACACTTCACGCTACGCAACTGACTGTTATTATCGCTTGGTATGCAAATGATATCTAGCAACAACGTCAATCTAACAACAGCATCGATTTGCTTCATCTCGTTGAAAATATTACTAAGATGGTATCTCAGGCTCTTGAGGATCGAGTTGAAAGCTGCAATTCTCGTGGTGAACATGACCAGGATATCTATAATTTCCTATCTTAGTTTCTATTCTACATACATCTTTCGGGTTGAAGTCGTGTTCATCTCATATGTGTGTGTCAACCAGAAGACCGTGGATTCCACACACTGGCTGATCGGTGCTAATCTGAAGAGGTTCAATTCAAGAGAAGAAGAGGTGCAAGTAGAACGGCAACGAGAGAGAACTAGTTTGAAAGGATCTTTACTTTCAGACGGGGTTTTGCTTGAAAACAAGATTATTTTGGACTCCAAGGTCTGAACGAAGAACCCAGTACTAAAGCCTCCCACCTGACCGGCACTAAGCCCCAGTAGTTATAACTCAAAAGTGCGTCTGCTTTGGGCAGACCGTCGTCATCTCTTTCTCATATTATCACACAATGAATATCAGTTTCGTCGTCATTGTCTCACAGTGCACAAGATGCGTACAGCTTGACGTTTTCGTGATTGAGAGGGATGCGCTCCATCCAGATGTTGACCTTTCAGCGTGTGCCCAGACAGGGAACATCCCGCACACAGTGCTTGGAGATGGCTAGTTCTACGTCCAACGAAGAGAGGGAGAGATCTGATTATGGTATACTTTCTATTTGTCAAGATTTTGGGAGTGACTAATGATGCCTTGTGTCACTAGAGTTTCAATGACCCTCTTCCATCTGCCAAATCTACTCCCAAGGACAGATCTGGTTCCCTCACAATGCCTTGCACCTAAAGCGATCAAACTTTAGCTCGTCTATCTTACCACACAGCATCCTTGAGTGTTTGGGGATCCCATTGATTTGACATATGGTATACTTGCGTTCCCACTTGAGTTTAACCATATCCGCATGAACAGATGAACGCCAATCAATACAAGCTATCTTTCAGCCACCAGAAGCGTTTTCTTCTCAATAGGCTTCTAGAACAATTGTATTCTTCCTCAGATTTTCTGTTAGCAATGTCGCCCATCACTTGGTTCCACAAGACAGTCTGTTCTCAGGATACTACATATATAAGCAGTGTAATCTAATCACATTTTCAATATTCTATCAGAAGAAAGAATGTGCATGTTGAAAGATGAGGAAGATTTCACCACGAAGCATCAGTTTGGGAATACAAATAAACGAGAATGGAGAAAATACAGCATACGTCCACAAAGAAACAGATGTAACCTTTCTACATTGTTTCCACACATGCGTTTCATCCGCAAAGATTCTTGTCCAGCTTTCTTTGCTCTAAATTCCTCATATGTTCATGTCAGGAATGTCGATCGCAGAAACGCTATTCTGCCGCCTTGAAGAGCCTACACGAGCTTCAAGATCAAACAAGTTTTTCATTGTCTTGTCTATTGACAGGATAATGTTTATTTGAATCTCCTCAGTGCAAGCTCGATTTGGTAAATTTGAAAATCTGTCCTGATTGTTTGTAGACCATACAGAGGAACATGGGAAAGAGTAACAGAAAAGTTCTGAAAGGATTTCTGAGCAGTAGATAGAAACTCAGATTTTGAGATCTACTAAGAACCTGCTCGGTTTCTGTTTCGATCTACTCCAATGATGATATCACTACCTCTTCACTAAGTGAATTCGAAGATCTTCCAAGTCATGAGAGGTTTTACAGGATTGTTCTATTACTCAGGCGCATCTATGTTCCATGCAATAGAAAAGTCAAAACAGCTGTCATTACCCCAGAGCCTTGAGAAGAAAAGTAGGCACTTGCACTCTGAGGCCAAGATTAGGCAACTATTTGGGCACCGACAAGATTCAACGAGATAACAAACCTTCCTAATGTTGCTGATTGTCCAGTTACGCCGGAACTATACGATGACCGCATGCCCAGGAAATAACACGACAATTGTCCTGTCTAAATTAAGCCGCCTGAACAACTATAAGATGTTCAAAGGCAGAGACCTCATGCCAGAGATCCGCGACCGAAACTCATTTTGATATTTTGTTGCTCAACTAGTAACCTTCCAGCGATATTTTACCCACACGGCTTCAGCCCGTCTTAGCGTTCATGAGTCCACGTGTTCATGAGTTCAACTACCTCGAAAGAGCTCTGAAATCTCAGGTATGAAAATCCGGTCGTAAGAGGCGGCAATGGACATAGTTTTGTCCTTTGTTCTTAATGGACGGCCCCCTTCGAAGTTGGATGCAGGGGTCAATCACACAAACAAATTCATGTTCTTGCACAACCTCAAGTGATGTTTCAGGAATTGCAAGTAGGCTGGGGACAATGTTGTAAGAACAAATTTGAGGCCCATGCCGCCGTGCATGACATATGGCTTCACTGCACGACAATGTTCGAGAAGCTGAAAGCACAGACAGTGAGGTTCAGTTGACACTTGCAAGCGACTAACGTATGCCATCTGTACACATCGGAGTATCAAGGGGAATGACACTGGACTTCACTGAGTGTCAAACTTGAGGATAAAAGAACAAGGTACTTTTGTCTTTGGCAGTTTTGGACTTTTTACGAAGCTAAAAACAGCATGTCCCACTAGCATGCACATGCTATATTCTGCCACGTCCTAAAAGCTTGAAATGCAGACGGTGGTTTTTAAAATTTTATACAAAAAGAAGATATGATGATTTGTATGTGATTTGATTCACTTCAGACAAGCTCAAAAAAAATTGAAATACTTGACATTGATATAAACTGCCATGGCTCTGAAAAACTGCAGTTGGAGATTATGTGACTTTACAACTGTCCCACAATTGCCTACAATGTGATGGGAAGCTCACCAGAAAAGAGAGCAAAACATGTTAATGGAGCAATACCTTAGAATGCTGAAGTAACTCTATCTGAAACCTCTACAGAATACCTACTATCGTTTAATTTAGGTTTGCAATCAAATAGGTTCCCTCTTAGGTGGTTATGCTGTACTAAGTTTCTCTACTCTCTAAGAGTATAGACTAACAAAAGCTCTCGTGGTAAGCCTACAAATTTCTCCCGATGGATCTGTCAATGTGTAAGAGTGCACTATTTATATGTGTTGCTTGCAGCGGCATGACCGACGATTCTTGAAGATAGTCAAACATAAATATCAAAACAGTTCAAAAATAAGTTAGATCATAAATAATCGTTACTACTAGTAGTCCTTATCTTTTGTATTACTCTATTATGTTTATATTACTACCGTATGAAAAAATTACTTTTTGCTCCTTGTGGAATCTTGAGGAGCACAGGGTCAAATTACAGTATGGTGTTGGAATGCATCCATTGATGGAATGAAATCAACACGTCAGTAGAATAGAAGAGTAGAGATCTCGTTACTGCCATTAATTGCTTTCCCTATCTAGGTCTAAACACCGCTTTGGGCGGCACCCTCTATAAGTGTTCTCCTCATATAAACATCCTGAACATGTATGGTGAGTGAAGGACTCTTGGAAGTAGAAAATTTGAAAGCTAAGACCATGTCAAACTCGGTTTAGAAGCCTATCGAGTGGATGGGTTACAGTCTCGGCCAAAGAATAACAAAGTAAAGAAATAGTGTATAAATAAACTATTTCCTTCAATACCTTGAAAAATAAGCAGAAAAAGCAGATTTCATGCGTGTTTGTCATCGAGGTCTCTAGCTAAGGTGTTAAAGGGAGCCAAATCAATATCTAATCCGACTGAAAACACTTTCATACCTAACCAATTGCTGTGGGAAGGGACGGAAGAGTAATTTTTGGAAAAAGACTGGCTGTGATCTCTGAGAGGATCATGATTGTTTGCGCATGCGATGCTCGTCCATGCGACTAAGTGTCTCGCGAGAGGCACTCCAACAATGAGTAAACAGTTTTTCCCACCAGATTCCTTTCTAAAATATGTGGAGGGCACTCCTACGATGAATATATCTCCACACCCATGCAGGTGGTATGAAATCCACTTCACCATCAACTCAACCATTCAACTGGCTCACTCACTCATTATATGTTCTTTGATCAAAAGCGTATGTGTCTGAACTTGTGCCACAGTGTTGGTAGAATTTGAGATGAGGAGGTTGAGGGTAGGGTGGTGAATGGGATGGAAACGCCATGGAGGTTCACCTTGGCAAACTCTTCAGACATGAAGATGTCTGAAGATTTTGCCAAGGTGAACCTGTCAGACCCTACCAGACATGAGTCATGATGACTCCAATTCCAATGAACCTAAGGTGGCCAGATTCGGCCTCTAAATGATCGCCCCGCCACAGCTAGCTCTCGGTCCCACCTTTATGAGACTGCAAGAAATTGTCATCTCGCAGTCACAACATGAGGAAATAAAAGGAAGTGCCTCTGACGAGTTCGCACATGCAAACTCGTCAATGTACATTGACACTTGAACAATTCAGGTTTAAAAGAGGCGTGGTCACATGCATCGCTCTGCATGCGTTCGCATCACCCCTCACTAGATTTCCATGTTCAAACCCGCACATAGGATTCAGAATGGAGAGTGGTTTGTCGTTGATCTGAGCTTCGACAGGAGTACAGTCGTGAATTCACAGGCTGAAAGAGGTCCGGGTCCGGGATTGGAATGCTATAAAACAACCGTGAAACACACAAACTCTAGGCAACAAGTCTCGAAGTCCCTCTTGGCCATCTACATCCACTAAACCGGAAATTTCACTCACACAGCACTCAACTCAGCTCCATCCCACTCCTCGTACAAATTTGGCACCACCTCCCGAGGCCAGGCGGAGTTTTGCTCTGCCGATTACTGCCGCATCCCTCTCCTCTGAAAAAAACGAAACTCCAATACATGACCGAGTCGACGAACACTTGACATTGCACAAAATCGACGACCGTAATTTCCTGTGTAGTCCTGCAATGAGATGGAGTCTGCCTCTCAAGCTCTCTAGAATCAAAACAGCTCGCGTGATATAGAAACCAAGTCCGAGATCCAATCCAGCGTAAAGCCTGCAGAGAGTCAGTCTCTGAGAAGCCAGAAGTGCTCCAAGTTTCTATGGCAACTTTTCTGATTCCCATGGTGTGCATCGAGAGTCATCTACTCTGTGAAAGGCATCGGTAGGATGGACACTGAATGAGTTCATAATGCAAAACCGGATCGTTGAGCGCCGTACATTCACTTCACGCCTGCTGGTCAAACGCGACAGTACCTGAATATATTATTCAGCTTCTGAAATGTGGGAGAAAAAGTGGATTATTCACAATAATTCACTTTTTCTCTCACAAGCTCGAGATTATTCGAGCTTTAACTCGGCAGAAGCTTGTACGAGTTATTGCAGTTTGACCCCGTTGAGAATGTACATTGCGGCACATAACAACAGCTGACAAATTTGAAAATCAATAACACCAAATAAAGGGACACCCTTTTGAATATTCCTGCTGTTCTCGAGGAAAAGCTTTCAGTTGCGCAGATATGCAGATGCGAATCGCACAATCGAATTGTCTGAAGGTACCAAGTGAGTAGTACCAAAATCAACATCAATCGATTCCGATATCCCTTTTCAGCCCAAAGAGAAAAAGACGCAATAAGTGCCCCTGCTTCCTTACACAACCTTATTCTTGACGGACGGTTGTGATGGAATTCCTTCCACGGTGATTGGTTGCTCCAAAAGAGGCTTCCAAGCTTTGAGATTCTACGTCTGTAAAGAACTCGTAAAGTAAAGTGAGATGCTCCTACGCTACTAAGGCCAGTCTAGACAAATGGGTTTGAGCACGTATCGGAGGTTAGATATTTCATTATATTACTCTTTCAGCTAGTTAGTCTGGTCCTTGTGAGAATAGGTTTATACTAGTATTCTGTGTGAGTGTGTGTCGCAACTGTGTACCATTTGTGTACTATGGTACACAATTGCGAGGTAAGCAGAGGAGAGCAATTTCAACAGACATAGCTGGATATCCCAGGTCTACTACTAGAAGGTTGCTTAAACATGTGTGGGTAAATTTCAGTCAAATGCTTCGACTATTGGCTTTTTCTAAAGCAAATAGTCGAGGAGAAAAGAAATTGTTCTATTTCGGCATCTTCTTTTCGCTCTCTACAATAGACCGTCTTTTTCTTCAATAGCATTGCCAAAGTCAACAGACCTTGACTTTATTGGCATACCAAAGTTTGCAACAAATTTATTCCAAATATTAAGTAGGTGATTATATTCTAGTCTGCGATTCCAGAGGCATCAAATTCCTTAGGATTGTGGTAATGGTTTTTTTTTTCCAGTACATGCTGTAAAATCAAGAGCAAGCGTGTGGCCCTTGGACCTGTTGAACTGAAACCCGATTAATCACGGCGAACTATCCAAGCAATCTGTATGCTCTAGGGCGGGGCGAAAAATGCTCTGCCTCATATTTGTAACAAGTGAGCATGAAACACGTGAAGCTCTTGCTGTCGAAGAGGTCACAGCTGGCAAGTATAGTACTGGATTGAACGAAGTGCGTGGTGGAAGTCCGAAGGGCAGCGCATCACACTCTTGCAAACTCCCGAATTGTCATCCTCTTCACTTCACCGAGGAACAAATCACAAAAACAAAAGGGATGGGAAGACCAGTCAAGTCAAGCTGGCAAGATGGGGCTAGCCCAGAATAGCATCGCAAGAAGAAATGTGTCACATCAAACCTAAAATATCCCTCTACGGTATTTCCTCTTCGATTGTCAAGCTACTTAAATCATGGCAATCACTGGAACCCGGGCCCACAGGAGTCGCAGAAGTTGTCGCCAATAAGATGAGCACTCGGCGGATGTGAAGCAGGACCAGAGCAGCCGGCATCTTTCGGCCCGTTCCAGTCCGAAGAATACTGAAATTAGCTCGAACAAGCTTCGAACGCACATCAAAGTGGCTTCACTCGATGAATCCTAGTTTGCGCTATGCGGGAGCGGAGGTCGCCGAGCTTGCGGTGCGTGGTGAGCTACGCACAAGCGGCCAATATTGGAAGCCAGGTAAGCGACGTCAAACCGGAAATACAAAATACATTGAACGCACTCTATTCAGTAACTTCTAATACTCCGACGAGTGATATAGCGAAAAGCAATAGCGGGACCTCATCGTACTGAAAGTGGCTGGTGACATTCATATATTCATTTGTTGACATTGTCTTCTCCATAATCCTTAAAAATTGAGGGTAATTCTTACTTTTCATCCATGTTGTCTCATCAACTGTCCTTTGTGTGTGTATTGGGTCTATCAGACAGCAACCAGTTGCTCCATGTCTAAAGTTTGCCTCAGGACCAAGTGCTGTCAAGCAGTATGCTATTTGGCTGGTTTAGACCCCGTCAAGGTTGAGGAACGTGTCCATACCTGGTTCGATTACCAAACATCGTCAGCCTTCTCATCAATAAGGACAGACTTGGGGCTCACAACAAGCCAATGGCAAGAGCACATCTGCACTTTCCCACTCCTGGAAAAAAATCTTGTCTCCGCTTCTCCAGCTCTCACCACTCCACGAGTGCACTCGAACACAGTGCATGCATGCGTACATCAATCGAACCTAATTTTCTCTTCTCATGGCATTTGCCTGAAATGAATCGGCTCAAATTTCACAGGAACGAGTTCAATCACGCTGTTGCCTGCAGGCCACGATGTAAGTACGTGCTGTTATGCTCTCGGGGTGGTGGTGGGGGGGGGGGGGGGGGGGAGCAACTTAGATTTTCACTTGCCCCAGACTAACCTGCATTTCCAATGGTTTTTTGAAATGACAGTTCTTTCCTCGGCACTACCTTCCTGCATCGTGCACAGCTGCTGCTGCCATACCATTGACTCCACGACTACGTCCTGCCCTCCACCACCAGCTCATGAAACACACCCCCGGCACCTCACCTCATCTCATCTCACTTAGGCTTGGCCGCGGTCCGTACTGGCGGTTAACCGGTTAACTATCGGTCCCGTGTAACCGGTCTTAATTTTCTATGGACTGGTTAACCGGTCCCATAGAAAATTCGTCACGCTAATGTAATATAGTTAATAGGCTTGGTCACGTTTCTGACCGGCGGTTAACCGTCGGTCCCGTTAAACCGGTCCCAATTTTCTCTAGGACCGGTTAACCGGTCCACTTTTTTTTGAACCGGCTAACCGTTAACCGGACCGTGGCCAAGCCTGATCTTACACCCCTCTCATGCCACCGAGATTCAAATTGCTGCTGTACGGTGGTACTTTGGCTGAGGAAGGACAGGGCCGGACAAAGCCTCCAGGACTCCATTTATAGAGCGGGTCTATACATCTCGGAAACAGGGGGGAGGTACAGAGTCCCGCGAGCATCAAAGAATCTCGCAACGCATCGTGAGATGCGCAGCATCGGAACGAGAAGCTGCTGATGCTGCCGGAGTCCCGACCGAGGACGACTAATTGGTCAGGAACTTTGGATCGTCCGTTGCTCGCCACGTGGCGGCTTCGCGAACGACGGCCCGAGCTCTTTAAATACAGGGTGGAATCAAATCCCCGGGGAGCAAGGTTGCTATGAATCACCGGCTCGAAGTCGGTGACCCACTTCACGATGGTCGAATATGATAGACGCCATACGGTACACTGGAGCTCAAGGTCCGGTAACTCCGGCTGAGTTGCGAATCATTGCAGGTAAAACGTGATGGGCTGCAATCTACAGGGTCCACCTTGCCTGCACGAATGCATGTTTGTCTTCCTTGGTTTTCAGATTTCTGGGCTTCGTTCATCTCAACTACACAACTACTTGTTTTGCCAACATTCGACTCTCTGCCATACAAATTCATTCCTTGCGACCAAAACATAAACGTTGTGCCGTATCTTCTGGGTCATGTGATAACCGAACCTTGTCTGACTGCGAATCGTTTGGACCAACCGCCTCTGATTTTATAATTTCTATCATTTCCAAGTTTTAAACAAATCCAGGTGAAATTCTGGGAAGACTAATTGTTAGAGACCATGTATTGATTCTACTTGTTTTCTCGCTTATTGATCAGTTGATGGATTGAAGTAGAGAAACGTAGTTGCCAATACTAATATTAAGATCAACTTCAAACAAGTTTTAAAACGTGTTCATTATATGGTTTACAATCTAAATCAAGAAAGTCCTCGTCTTTCACACTTCCTCCCTGTGCAAATTTAAATTTACACCACATATATTGGAAAATTCAATGGAAGTAAATTGATTTCACTTGTCATTAAAAAAATTTAATAAAGTAAATTTTTTTTTACAAATACAGGGAAGAATATAAAATTTCACATTAGTTTATTTCTCATAGTGAATTTTTTTGGAGGAAATTTTTTTTCACAATTCAAATAACTGCTAAAAAATTTAGTCCATGAAAACAAATTGAACATGGGCTTAATGTTGCTTTCTTTCAGTATATAATTACATCATTTTTTAAAACATTTTACGAAGCAATACATATGATTTATGGATAATTATGAGCATAATTGGCCATTTACCTTCAATATTTTCTTTACATGAAAAATTTAAAGTATAAGTGCAAAAAAATATCACTTAATAAATTCGATCAGATATTTGTAATTTTTAGAAAAAGTTCTTGATGTTTTGTCTTCAAATATTTTGTATCAAAACATTATAATTTTTTCATAATTTTTTCCGAATTTTATTCGAAAACTAAAAGTCACTTTTATAATGTACATTATGTTTAAGTACTTTTTTATTTTATTTTTTAAGATTAAAATTGATTACTTAACTTTTTATTTTAATTAAAAACAGAAACGCAATAAATCCTCATTTTATTATCTTGATCATATAGCTAAAAGCTGAAAAAAATAATTTTATATATGTACATATTTGAATCATTTTTTATCATTTAAAGATATACTTTTCATTCAAATTAAATAATTTTATTTTAAAGTTGACTGATACTATGATTTTAATTGATTTTATAGCACATCAAAATTGAATATCAAAAAAATAAATTTTTTTAAACATGTGACATTAACCAAAATTATGATATGTTTCACACTGTCAAATTATTATACATATATTGACGTTGTGCCACCAGCCAGACACATGTCGATATGAACAAACTGTTGAGGTCTATACATTCCAAATAATGATGTATTTATATATGTGGTATGTATTTATCAATGTCTTTTTAAAAACAAAAACTCAGATATAAAGTTTTCTGTTTGATTCAAAACTTTTTAAATGTTGTTGGTTTATAAAAATATTCTGTATAACCTTGTATATACTTTTCATATTTTATCAAATTCATGATGTAAGTTTGATTCATAGATTTGTAGTATTTTATAATTTGGTAGAATAATATTTTTAATTTAACTTACAGAAATTTTCGATAAAAAATAAGATTCAATAAATCAATGTTTAATTTGATTGAATTAAAAAATTAGAAAAATTGAAACATATTAAAAAATATGAGAATTTTTTTATACATATATGTAACATACTAAACTTAGATTTAACAAACTCATAAAACTATGTTAGTTTGTAAACGAAAAGATTTATGAATTTTTAATAAGTTTCAGCACTTTTACAAATACGACTCAGTGGTTGAACATGATTGCTGTCTACATACCATCCTACAATCTGGACAATGGAACACACTAAATCTCTTCGCTTTAGAATTTTAGAGCCAGACGAATAAGGAATAGAGTGAGGGAAGGTGCAGTCAGCTATTTTGTGTCCTCTGAAAACGTGTCCAATATACAGCTGTGCATGCAAGATAACGAAGAAAGTGAGAACCTCACATTCCATAAGATGGCCTACTACTCCAATGACTGTCGGTTACATAAAAATTGGCGATGGTAAAACGCAAAGTCTTTTAGGAGGGTTCCACACAGCTGACAACAAGAGAGAGAACTCAATTTTAGGCAGATTCCTTTTGTTTTTTTTTTTAAGAAAATATTTTAAACCTAGTTAAGATCCAAAGAGCACAATCCAAACAGGAAGGTTGGAGTACCATAAAATTTTCGTTATCAAATTGCAAGATGTTCCATGTGACCTTTCTGACCTTGGAATCAAGGAGACAGGTGTCGAGGCAAAATTCGCTCGTACACAGATACATACCCTGCGTAGTTTCAAAATCAAAAGAAGAGTACTCTGACTTCATTATCCATTCGCTGTGTTCCTGGGGCTCGTCGTAAAGCATTGTGCAACTCTCCACGAACATGTCCATACGCTTTGGACAGCAGTCGCTTGAGTTCAAAGTTCTCAGCGAAATCAACGTGAGAGTAGGTGCAATGTGTGTCAAAAGAGTGTACGGTCGCATTATTCTCGAAAAGAGCCATAGCACCGAAGTAGATGCACTTCATCACATAGGAGAGCAGGAACAAGGACGAGACATGGGGACAAAGGGAGAACAATAATTCAGTACTTTCCGCAATCTTCAATACGAATGGTCTCGGATACAATCCAAAGTGACACAGAGTGCGACTCGCGCCCATGAGAAGCAAGAGACGCAGGGGACGTACATGAACTCGAAGAACACGTCTGCCATCACTAACACCATTTCAAATGTCGACTTCACGGCGATGTGCCAAACCACATTAGCAAAGCAAACCGAACGAATCGTCCGAGTCGAACAGGTGCAGAAACCATGTGATGATGCCCCGTCCCGAGGTCGTGCAACAGACCGACCTCAATTCGACTGCGGTCCGGAGTTAGAGCGGGAGAGAGCGAGAGAGAGGGAGAGGGAGAGAGAGGGGCTCATAATCAGCATGTGCAAATGCGATTTCGACAGTGGAAGGAGCATGTGGAGAACGCGCCCGCGAGCCACGAGATGGGGACTCGTCGAGGCTTGCATGCGACCGGATGCGACCGGCGACCCTTGCATGGGACAGGGTGCGGTACAGTACAGGGATCCGGATCCCTGCAGTACGTGAGAAGGACGTATAATTTCCGACGCGCGCGGCAGGTACGCAGACGGGCGCGGGAGTGGGACGTCGACGGACGCGCGTGGACCGAGTCCCGCGACTCTGCCAGCAACTCCGTGAGCGAGATCAGTCGGCGTCCGCGCGACGACAACAGTCCTCCGGACATCGTCGACCGACAGACCGACCGACCGACCGACTGACTGACTGACCGACGGACCCGTGGCCAAACTCCATAAAATGCATAGTAATACTAAAGCGAGCCCGCGGGCCGTCCCCTTGGGACCGCGTCCGCAGGCGGAGGGACTGCTGCGGACCTCGGGACCAACAAAGAGGCTTTGGGCCAGCGCTGCGGACTGTCTTGTGCGGCGAAGAGTAAGAAGAGCCAACGTCTGTCCTCTACAGCCTCCGCGCCGTAGACCTTTTCCAGACGGAGCGCGAGGGGGGAATCGATTCCTCGAGGGAACGAGGACTGTGAGGAGGAGGACGAGGGAGCTGAAGCTGAAGCCGAAGCGGAGGGAGGAAGGGACGAGGAGGAGGAGGAGGAGCTGAAGAAGAGGAGAGAAGACGATCTCGCTGGGCACAGGGAAGGAGCAGGAATCGGGAGGAGGCAGAGCAATCGGGAGGTGGTAAGGAGCAGGAGGGAGGAGTGTGGGGCGGCTTGTCCTTGGAGCTCTGGAGCCTCGCCTTGATTGGTCTGTCTGTCTGGCCTGCTGGACCAGGTAAGAGTTGAAATCGACGCGAGCTGGGGGAGCAAAGAAGGTCCTGGGTGAGGGGAGGAGAGGAGAGTTTGAATCGAAGGCGGGCAGGGAGGGAGGGAGGACTTGACTGGGACTGGGTCCGCTGTAGAGATTTGTGCTGCTGTTTGGTCGTTGCAGGCCCTTGTTTGTTCTCGTGATCTGCTCTGCTCTGCTCGTTTCGTCTCCGCCGCATTTATTTCTTCCTCACTCATTCACTCTTTCTCCTCCCGGTTGTTGTTGTGTTCCCTTGAAGATTGATTGGGTCGGTTGACCGATCTCCGCCTCTCTTCGTCTCTTCTTCTCTCCGCTCTCAGCCATTGATCGGACGCTGAGTCTGGTGGCCCTTCTAGACGAGGAAAGAGTTGGTCGCGGAGTGGCAGGGGGTTTGACGTTTTATTTCAGGTTGGTGTTGATATTTGGGCAAGATTTCGATTGCCGGTGATCCCCCGCATTCTTAGTCTCGTAGATCTGGCGGGTATCAAGAGTTGGATATCGGTCTGTGATATCTGTTAGATTGTGGCTGCCTCGAGGGTTGTCAGAGATGCGTTTGGGGACTGGTTTGGTCCAGAGTGAAAGGAGCTTTGGATTCGATTAGCAGATGATCTCAACTCTGCGCTTCTTGTCTGTTTTCTGGGTGTGCCTAAGGTGTGCAAAGTTTTTGGTCTTTTCGGGGCTTTATCAGCAGAACATGACCGGAACGTGCAAATCTGATTCGTCATTGATGCAATTTTCTGGCTATCCAGGACACTCTTGAAGACGGAGCGACTTCCTGATCCATTCACTGGAAAATTTGCCACTTTCACGGGTCTTATCAACAACTTTGATGCTGTCTCTAGTTGGAAATTTGCAGCACTGAGATTTCTGGATCCACTGCTGGTAGCGGCCTTGTAAAGGCGGGCCGCATTATCAGCTTGTATATCAAATTTGGACCTTTTAGTGGAGTCGTCATGGCTTCAGACAAGAAGAACGGGGTTTCGGATGTGGGAGCATGGGCGATGAATGTGATCAGCTCAGTCGGTATCATCATGGCTAATAAGCAAGTCATGTCCGGCTACAATTTCCGATTCGGTGAGATCCTCGATGCGAAAAAAAAATATCTGTACATGGTTGTGGATCTTACATTTTGAAATGACCAGAGCAAACATAATACTAGACTCCCTAGAGTTTATAAAGAGATTGAGGCTATCTAAGGTGGATTTTGGTGTGCTGGAAAGTTTGTAATCCTGCATTGTAGTTCGGGTCTTAGATCAAAGATTATTTTTTGCGTTAGATCCCTAAGACGTCGTTTTCACGTTCCTGCATACGAGAGCAACCACCAAGTCAATAATGAAGGCATTTGGGTTTTAAAGAGTCTCTGCAGACATGAAACTGTCATATCCCCGCGTTACATTATCCCATTCCTGAAGAACCTTTAGATCGGTCGTAGGTTGGAATTTATTTTTAGTAGGTATAGTCTTCTCTTCGAACTCTTTACGAATTTGGTAATATGAATTGCCCGGAACTACAGGCGATACAATCTAAGGGCCTCCAAAACTGTTCGCATTCTGAAGGAAGTGTGATGCTATTTGCACTTGTGCTTTTCTTTCTTATGCTGATTGTATACTATCTGACCTTGGATCTGTTGACATTTCAATGCAGCGACGACGCTGACGGCCCTTCACTTCACCATCACAGCTTTAGTGGGTTTCATATCTTCGAGATCCGGTGTTATATCTTCCAAACATGTGCCTTTTGTTGAACTTTTTGCCTTTTCTCTCGTTTCCAACACCTCCATCGTGGGCATGAACCTCAGCCTCATGCTCAATTCAGTGGGATTTTACCAGGTAATCTTGAATGTCACTAGTGCCAATAAACGATGAAGGCTTATTTGACTTGGAATTTTCGTGATGTGTCATTTTAGATCACGATAGTGAAGCGGACATGTATGAAACTGTTAAGCTTGCAATCTAGATTTCCAATGTTTTTGACTTTTTTTTGTTTGTCTTTTAATATCAAGCGTCTTATTTGTGAAAATTGTAATTTTGAACTACTTGGATCTCTTCCGACATTAGTGCAATTTGTTGCGTGAACTGGTGTGCAGATTGCGAAATTGAGTATGATTCCAACCGTCTGTATCTTGGAGTGGATCCTCCACGGTAAAACTTATAGCAAGGAGGTGAAGACCGCCGTATTTGTAGTGATGATCGGTGTGGGGATTTGCACAGTCACCGACGTGAAAGTGAATCTCGGAGGTTTTACTGCTGCGTGTGTGGCTGTCATCTGCACTTCTTTGCAACAAATTGTGAGTAATTTGAAGCCTGTTTACCTTGTCTATTTATATTCCATTAACTATGAGAATTTCTGCTTGACAGTATCATTATTTGATTCTGTATTGCCAATCAATGAAATTAGTATACGTACGTCTGATAAAGCCATTGATTCTCGGGTTCGCACTGACTACAATGCAGTACATCGGCTCCATGCAAAAGAAACACAACATTGGTTCTTTTGAGCTCTTGAGCAAAACTGCTCCAATCCAGGCTGCCTCTTTGATCGTCTTGGGCCCATTTGTTGACTACATTCTGAATGGTGAAAGCCTTTTGGATTACTCACTGTCCTGGGGAGCTACCGTAAGTTCCCGCCATTCATAACACACCAATCGGGGTGGTACTTCAGTTTTTATTTGCTGTCGGAGTGTTCTTACCAGTGTACTGTAGTACTCGATTTGATGACTCATTTTTCGTAGGTGTGATCTCATAATATTCTCTTGTCAAAGTAGTTCTCGTGATATTATGTGACGAAACTGCGCTTTTGGTCTAGACCGAATGATTCTGAATCAAGCATGAGATGTTCGATCTATCAACAAGTTGTTGAATGCACTGACCCGATTCGTGTATGCAGTTTTTCATCGGTCTATCCTGCACGCTAGCAGTATTCTGCAACATGAGCCAGTATTTGTGCATCGGTCGCTTTTCTGCCGTATCCTTCCAGGTGTTGGGGCACATGAAGACCGTTTGCGTTTTGACCCTGGGATGGATATTGTTTGACTCGGTCTTGACTTTCAAGAATATGAGTGGCATGGCTATGGCTGTGTTGGGTATGGTGATATACAGCTGGGCAGTGGAGCAAGCGAAATTGCAGGCGAAGCAATCATCTTTGAGCTATGTTAAGGAGTCCAGTTTTTCAGAAGAGGACGTTGCTCTGTTGAAGAGTGGTCTGGACCAACAACCGATGAAAGACATCGAATTGGGACGGGACATGAAGTAGACGAATTGAATGAATCAACAGAATGAGTATACAGCCTAGGTTAGGGGGTGTCTTCCAGGAAATAGAGGACCTCGAGAAAACATGGACAGGTAGGACTTCCGCCAGATTCTTAGGGCCTCTGAGCCCTTGCGGGCGACACGATTCTTCTGGTCTGATATTAATTAATTCTACAAAAGCGGCACGCTTGCTTGCACAGGATCTGGACCCTGTGCCTCCATTTTTCGGTTCCCTTATTTCATCAGAATGATGCTAGTGTGTTTATCGAGATAAACAGCTCAACAGCTAGCGGAAGAGCACCACGATCGATTGTAGGGTATCCATGTAAGGTAGGTGAGGCCTGTTGGAGAAAAAGGGTACTTACTTTCACTACCTGATTATTGCTAGGGAGATTCTTTGAAAGGGGTTCTTTTCAAGTTAAAGCTTCTTCCCCTTATTCATTCTTCGCCGACTCAGTCTCTGTAACAGTACTTCTTCACTAATCAGTGTCTGATTAGACACTGAGGTGCCCGAGTGGAAACACAGGCCTATATATATACCATAAGAAGACAATCTTTAAACATGTAGACTGCCAGTCGTTTCCTGGTCACCTTTATCACGTGCTTTGTTACATCTCTTGATGCCTCAGAAAAGAAGTTCTTTTGATCGGCTCCAGACTTGGTCTTGTCAGATGTGGTATTTTTGTTGCTGCTTGTCGTGTTCAGTCCGATTTTACAAAATATATGGAATGTCATGCTTCGGTCGTGGTCTGCTTCGCAAAATAGACATTTGATGGATTATCTAGGCGTAAGTTTGAAACTTTGATAGAAATTACTCCTACTTGGATGACAGGAAAGGAAGTTGCTGTGCAGATTCGGAACGTACAGTCTCGTTCGTTCCGCTTCTACATGATAAAATTGACGGTTTAGTTTGGTTAGGATCTTGAAGCTATCGGAACGTTCTTAATAGCTTATTTTCTGAGTTGATAAGTCTCTGCCCTCTTAGTTCCTCCTACTTTCTAGGATTAGAGTGACTGTATTTCCGAATAGTCTGACCAAGGACGAAAGTGGAAAGGACACGGCGACTACTCTATATTTGTCCCTTCCTCATTTCTCGGAGACGGGTCGTTGCAGCTTATTAACTCAAATCGGAGTTGCATCCATTGCTTGCGGATCAAGCGGGCTGCGTAGGGGAACTACGTGGCAAGTTTAGTACGGCGATCGGTATTTTATTAGGATTTACCATTTTCCATGAACCCGGAGCGCAGGACGGATTACAGCACGCATGCATGGAACTGAATACGTGCCGTTATCGTTGTTTGTGCGTATGATGCTACAATTCCGTCCGCAGCTCTATGTGAGCGAGGGTAGCTTGATGGCAATCTTTCACGTCTTTCGCCTGAAGCGCTTGCTGCATGTCTATCAGTGAATTATATCGTTATAGCTAGTAGTGGAGTGAGCATCCTTCTGATCTTCGTCTGATCGTGATTGAACGTACTGTGTTTTCTGTAGGCATGGGTACGCATACGAATAAGTGGAAGAATACCAAATTAACACCAAATTTGAGAACTTTCGACACTGTAATCGGATACATGCCCACGCTCCGCTTGGATGCTGAATGTCCATGTTGCTCGAGACCTGAATTTTGGGTTGGAAGAATGGAATAATAAACACACTGTCGATTCGAAGATTCGTGTCTACTGCCAAGTGAGGTGGGCAGTATGCTTGACGTATCCAATCAGCTTGTGGAGGAATAAAAGCTTTCCAAATTACGCCAACCATGTTTAATTGGCAATATAGCTGAAAACATCGGCCGATAAATTTTGTCTCTTGGAAAGAAAATCATTCTTCCGACAAGATTGTGTGCCATCACGTTTCTTCAGACCTAAGTGAAGAGAGAACGTGCTTCCAGTGGTCCACAAAATGCATAATCTGGTTTGAGCCTATTCAATCTCATATCACCTCCACGTTTTGAAATTGATGATAGCGTGAGAAAGAATGCAACAAGCTCGTGTCCATAACGCGTTCTTGGAACGCCTGTGAAGCACGTTTACGTGTAAGACGTCATTGCTTGCCAGTATTCCTTGAAAAATGAAAGATAGCTTCAATCGACCTTTCAAACCTAGAAAGTGGATGACGAAAATGAATGACACGTTTACAGAGTCGACAATCGTCTCATGCAGGTCATAGGACAACTTCTGTCATCAAGAAAGCAGAAAGAGCAAGACAAGAATAATCTAAAGTTGATCGAAGACGACATCAAGCGCATCTTGCGAGCAACTGGTTCACAAAATCCACTATTTCAAGAAGGTACATCTCAAACTTCACTGTCAGATTTGTAGCTATACTAGCGATGGTTTAGAGAGCAGATTGGACAAACCATTTTAGGCATCAAACAATTCGGTGAAGAATTCCTGTCTACACAGACTGGCAAGCGGGCAGTGTGTTCTCGATATGGCTGATTTTTGAAAACTTGCTGCGGAATTTTGAGTGAGGGTCAGAACGGCTTCAAGATTGTCGTTTGACGTCCAGTACCTGCATTATAAACCTAAAGTAATGCCCAGTAGTGATCTCTTCTCCGCAGTGCTGTGCCAGAAAATGCCTCAGTATGCGCAACCTATATTTGATGATCTTTTGTGGATATTGCTCTGCAGCAAATCGAGGAATTATATTTTCGAAGTCGTTCAACCCCAAAGACTGGCGGAAGAAGAAAAGACAGGATCCAATTTTTGCAGACATAGCGTACTTCAACTTCTGGTCTCTCATGCTCGCACCGGACATAGCCACTGCTTTCATGGAGGCTCTTCTCACTCGAATTAACGATATGGACATCGAAGAAGAGATTAATCCCGAACACATGAAAAAATCCATCGGTCCTCAACGGGAGTGGGATTTTGGCAAGGAGTATGAAGTCAAAGATGCGGAGCCATACAGTCCGGGCCATCCCCTCGTCACGCGAACTTTCAAAATCTTCACCAAGATTCCTGCCGAGTTCCGTATCCGTCCACATTTTTCAGCTCAAAACCCCAAATCTTTGAAGCAATGATTATCAAGTAGTTATGTCCGTAACAAGTTTCGAGTGCTAGTTATCTTGTATATCCATAATCCTGAATAGATTCTCAGAGATACACACATCCATGAGGGCTGCAGTCTTGAACACCATCATTCTGCTGATGTTCTTTCATCCTATCAATTACAAGACCCCCAGAATTACCGCTGCGCTTGTATCTCTTACACCGGATCCCCTGCTGGAACGCATGAATCTGTTGGCTTGGAAGGGCGTGGCAAGTCACCTTGCTAGTCTGAAATGCATCGGTTTTCAAATGCCCTAATCATCTTGTTTGATCATGACTAAGACTCGTCAAAATTGGTCCAAAAGCCGAATCTCGTCCGCAGTGTCTATGTTGTCATTGAGAGGAAACATATAAATTACTCAAACCCATGCCGAAGTCATTGAACAAAGCTTACAGTTTATGAGTCTGCACTTATGAAATCCGACTCTGTACTGGTTCCTTTGTTTGTTTATCACGTTTCGAAGTGATTTATCATATCAGTTAATCACATTTTTGGAAATTGTCTTCAGCAGTACTTTGTACAGAATAGTGTAGGCTCTAATGGTGATAATATATTGCATCTGCAGGTGCTGAATTTTATGAAGTGGGATCAGTCTGAGAGGTTGACCAATTTGGATACATTCTTATATCAGTATGCGGGCTACATGGGTTGCAAGAGTTCCACGGTCGACAACAGTCTCATTGGTGAGTTCCCACTCTTTCTGTGACTGACAAATGAAAGAGATCCGTTGGAGTCATGGAAGAGACTACCAACTCAAAGTCCGAGTTAACTAGAGAACAGCCCGAGGAAAACTTTAATCGTCTCCTGAAAATGCCAAATCTTCCGTCGCAAAGACCGCAAGAACTTTCACATTCATCATCAATTAGCAGTAGTGTGGAAACGCAGGTACAGGATGGGTATATTTGTGGTTGCAGCAGGAGGTGTTAAATGGGAATGGTCAACTTGTTGTCGCCGGAATAAGAGGAGCGCTTGCGATTATTGCCAGGGAAGACACTGTCCTGACTCCCGTCTCTGAGTTCCAAATCATGTGCCTTCTAACAACCCTGAACGGCATTGTGTCACTTGTAAGAAATACTTCCTTAATCAGCGCCCATACCGTTGTAACTGCTAATTATTACACTGGTTATGAACGTGTTTCAGTCTGGATTATATAGGAATTTTGTTAATATTCGATTTGGTCAGAGATCCCTTTATCAACGAATTATTCTCGTATGTTTTTTTATTTTTTCACATGTGCGTCACTCGTTTCATGTTTCCAAAACTACGTTTTTTTTTGTTTTTTTTTTTCAAACAAGGTCTGACTTTCCATATTGGAGCTCGAAACAGTGATGGAATTTTATTGGCTTTGATCGAACATATGTATGATATATGAAAGGACCAGCCCTACAAAGGTTGCAATCGCAATTTAGGTGTACAAGTAGATTCCAGAGGACTCACAACTTCTACGTAGGACCCATTCTTACGCAACCTTCCTAGACTTCGTAAGACCTCTGTCCTAGCTTTGCATTTTGACAGAGCTGGCATTCAATACAAACTTGCAGGTTCATTTGAACGATGAAAATCAGGACTTAGGCCGCTTCATTGCAGAACTATACGCAGATTTTTTTGAGCCAATACATGAAATTGGTCGAGGCACTGCGAAAATTCTTCAAAATGAGCACAAAGCACCTGGTGAGGTGATAGTTAGTCGCCTTCACGTAACATCTCAACGTTGTAACATGGTAGGAATTAATATGAGAGTGAGACCATAGCAGTTTTGCAGTGAAGTAAATATTGTATTGATGGTGGGGCACTTATCGAAAGTAAAATAGTAATCTACTTTGAAGTTATCTCTTAAGGTTAACATTGTAATTAAAGAGTCACGAGCCACCTTGTTTTAGGTTTTAGGATGTCTGTGTCAAATCTCAGAGTTCAGTAAGTGAAGCAATCACATCTTGCCACTGACCACAGTTGTGAGCTCTTGGATCGGTGAGTCGTGAGGGTGGTGAGAAAATCTATCTGAATTCGGGTCGGAACTTGGTACAATGGCGAGAGTGATACACTGAAAGATCTGACCTCAAGAGCATTGTTCAAATTCTACCTTATAAGTAGATGAAGTGTGAGCAAGCTATGATAAATGCAAGAGAATCCACATGATATGTTCGGGTAGAGAAACTATCTAGAGGTGATCCATATGGATCCCACTCACACATTGATATCAAACTAACATCAAACGGTGATGTCGAACAGGAGGTAGAGCTGCTTGCAATTTTTCTTTAGTTAGGATCTGGTTGCCACCATAACAAAGCACACTTCCTCCTTTCTCGGTATGGGGATTTCACAGGCTACTCCTCGAGGAACAGATGCGCAGCATGTGATGCTAGATTTGGTTTGTTGCAGCCCAGCAGACTTCTGCCACCGTCTACTCATGTTGTTTTAAACACCAAGTGCCCCCGAAGTTATAACCTCACGGCTCTCCTCCATGCCACGCCCTTAGAGGCTGAAGGAGAACCTTACGACGACACTGATTACATCCACTACACTCGGTGGCGTCTGATACTCCAGATGCTGTGCTGTTGCGGGGTTGAAGAAGTGGTGACGGAGAGTCAGGCTTATGTCCCTCTCGTTATCTCTCAACAGCCTCCGGATTTTGTAGCATCCGTATATGAAAGACTACTGCAAATCATGGAAGAAGCCGTTATGTGTGAGGACCACTTGCAAGCAGCACAAATTCGTGCCCATAAAGTGAAAGATATTTGGGATGAACTTTGTCAAACGCTTGGGCTGAGAGATCTGATTATGCCGGAGGTCGAGATAGCACTGATTGACGACCTCCCCACAAACAGGTAAGCTAAATTTGAGGTACTTGTGAAAGGAACTTGTGACAGTTTTCTAGTTCAAAACTCAGCGGTTGTAATTCCTACGAATGCAGTTTTTGTCAACGCTCGGTAGAAGAATAGGCTGAGATAGTAAGCATTTCCAACCATTTCGAAGGAGAAAAACTGTTGATACATGAAGGTCGGTGCTTCATGTAATGTTTCGTTTCGAGCAAGTGTATGTAATAAGGCCAGGGCATGAAGCTCAGAGAGTATATAGAGCTTCTAGCACATGCCATGTTCTAATGATGCGTTGTACAGATTGAATCCAATGAGATTTACGACCATCAAGGCTGAGCCGACCTGGCAGCCTAATAAAAATGTTATGACGAGTGGGACCGCTGGCGGTTTGCCTCGCTTTTCTCGAACAGGAGCCGAAGACATTCTGTTCGACATTATAAGCAGAAGTGTCGATCTGAATGCATATCAGTCTCCTGAATATATGGCCTTCCGACTACACGGTGTCAAAGAGGTGGTGAGGGTGATGGTTGGAGGTGGCGATGGAACTCTAAACTACATGCTTGCAGGCTTTGTCAACCTACATTATTACGGTGAATTGTTACCCTTGGGCTTCTTAGAGAAGCTAGACGTGAGGTTCTATATATTGCCAACCGGGGAGGTGAACTCTCTGGCAGGCTATATAGCCAGAAATGATCTGTGGTACGATGCGAACATCAACAGAATGCTCACCAGTCGGCTCCCAGCCGTTCCTCACGTTGGAGATCCTAAAGAGTGTCTCGATGATCCTTCTGGATCCAAGCACCGTGGCCAACAGCAACAACAGATGCTCCCGGACTTGAATACCGTGAGCCCGAGAAATCTGCTCACGAAGCAGATCGAGAACTATGTACTAGAAGCGAAAAACGTCTTCCATGTTAGCATCTACGCTTGCGAAGCTTGGTACCATGATGGACAGACTGAGACCTACTGCACCATTCCGTTTTTTGGAAGAGCTGAAATTGGAATAACAGCGGCTATGGTGAGTCCAATGGGAGAAAGGCAACTCGGTCAACATGCGGGAGCGCCCCGACCAGCTAGGGCAGCGGCAGAAACAATTGAGGAACTGGCTGCGAGAGTTGCTCTCTCAGTTTCTATCACCTACACTGGTCTTGGACTGGAGTTCGAGGAGCTGCCACAAACAAACATGAAGGGAAGTTACATTTCCATAATGGTAATAAATGTACCAAAGCCTCATGAGCAAAGATTGGCTTGTGAGCCATGGTCAGACTACATGGATTTCTTCGTGCTGGACTCTGCTCACCAAGTTGTTCAAGACAAGAAGATTAAATCTCTGTCAGATATTGCTTACTGGTCTCGCCCAGAAATGGCGAACTGGATCAGCATTGAGGCAATACGCAGTATGGAAGAAGAAAGTCCAAGGAACTTCGATGTTCTATTAGATGGAGAGGTCTTCGGCCCCTTCCACCGGGTCACTTTCTCACCGTGCGCTCACCCTGTCAATCGGAAGACTAATCTGAAGCTCCCTGTTGCAACTTTCTGGCGTCCAGAAAACTCGAGATTCAAATAAGCGACATCAAAAGACCCATTGGGATTACGACACAGGAATCTCGAGGTTTTGGAGGATTCAACTGGTCTATGTTATTCAGCCAAGTCAGCTCTGTTCCTTACTGTGTCGCAAAAGATCTTGACAAATCTAGAGCTGGGATGCTGTGGAAGACAGCAGCAGTTCGGTCTGACTTTTTGAGAACTTTTTATCGTTGAGTGCAAACACAATATGAAATCACTAAAGGGGGTATAGCTGTTGATTTCACACTCAGTCTCTTGTTCTCAGATAGAATTATAAGATTGGCCTGAGACCACGACAAACTTCGTCTCCGACGACCATAACTTGCCACCCAAACACTAATATGCACTGCATTATTATGGGTAGAACTCATATTCTAGACCTGTTGCGTATTCCTAGCAGAAAGACACCAGAGTATAGTAAAGAAGGATGACTAATCAGCATAAAAGTCTGGCAGTAGTTCGCCTGCCCTTATCACGACGGATTCACACTTTCCATGGTGGAAAACCTTCTTCCAGAACTGCTTTTGACAAAGAGCCATCAGACAACTGTTGCATTATGATGATACATGATTATAGACACTAATCTGCACGAACAGAAGGGCAATTTTGAAGTGCAAAGAAATTCCTCGATGAACAGATGTTATTGTTCCCAGATTTCTCCGAGAATAAAAAAAGGGAAATTAAAACTTGAGAACTGAAGATATATACATTACACACGAACTTAATGTCGGTCGAAATCTGAGATGTCCATATCAATGTGGCCAGGAACGTAGGAGCCTTCAGGTAACCTTGAGACAAATGCCCAAGCTTGGAAATTTACAGTGTATAGAGAATTGGATCCCTTTCTACTCAAGATGAGTAGAAGGTTTTGGGGATGTGATCATAGCTGTAAAGAATCTTAGGCGGTTATTCCTCATGGCCGCTTCAGAGTCGGCCATGTTGATGTAAGAGGCCGGCACAGAGAACAGAGATGCACATGGTAGCGTGTAGCCATCTTTGGCCGTCCTTCTAGCTTTACATCGTCTCCAAGCAAGTTGAATAGTTACAGCAGCCCACATTCTCCACCCGGATGAGTAGAATCTCAGTGTACGCTTCATCTTCTCGTCTTCAAATTTGTAACGAAAGTGTTGGACTACAAACTTCAAATCTCTGGCCTCTAACGAAAATACCTCAGCCGAATCTAAAGCTATCAATGTCGCGGTTGAAGGGGGTAACCGATCGACAGGAGTTTTTCTCAAACACCAAGACAGGAGTTCATCTCCACAAAAGTTGCCAGGTCCCAGGAGGGTGTAACTGGACTGGTTGTTCTTCAGCTGGTATGAACTTTGAAAGTGACCTCTTACGAGAAACAGCATCCGCATTACTGGATCTCCTTCTCTTAGCACCTGAAACTTACACCATAAATTTGTTTACATCTTCATGAGTTTCTAATTTCTGTGGATTTTACATAAATTTGTGGGAGACTGTAGTGCGCTAGACCATTCTCTGAAAAGGTGCTTCATGCAAGAGCTATTAAGGTCAAGCAGCAATGACTTCAGAATTGCAGAATACCTTTACCCATTATCACACGTGTGGTACTGTCTCACTTACCATCTCACCCTTGATGAACAGGTGAGCTGTTAATCTCTCACAAACGTTGTCCAAAACTAGTTCATCCATATGCTCGAAAAGTGGCACCTGCAAAGCAATAGGTCATCTTTCAGTTTTAAAGAGTTCTGTCATGAGGATTATGAAAAATACTTGTCATTTAAAAATCCACGAACCAGAATGTATATTGTTTTCTTTCCTCTTTCAGCATTTTTTATACTGGCCTTGAAGCTACAGAACTTCCCTGGCGTCTCACCTGGCGAACCAAATCTAAGCAGAGGTGTCTCTTTATATCACGACGAAGGCCTTCCGGAAGGTCAGCGACCATAGAGGTTTCATCCACTCCTCTTGTAGCAGCCCAACGCTGACGTTCATAGTGCCTTACACGCTGTCGTAATCGAGATGGCAGCTGTCGCCTTCTCATCCACCACTCTATATCTCTGATGCGCAGTTGCATCATTTCCTTCCTCGCAGTGATTGAATGGAGGAAAACCTGCTCAAGATGCAAACCCAGAAGAATGAAGCTGACATGATGTTCGTAAATAACGTTCTACAAACGACATAAAGTCTCTACTTCATTATCTTCAGGTCGTCGAATTTTATAGAGTCAGCACATCCTTCAAGGGTCCTACTTTCAAGATGGATTGGAAATGTCATGCCTGAATGTTTCCAATAAGAAGCATAAAGAGAAGCAATCCACACGTTATGACAAATATACTGAAGGACAATTCCAGCCGTTCATTCCCTGGTACCAGAGCATTGCCGAAGGAGCTGCAGTATGAACACCCCCATTGTTTCAGATGAATATACCATGTCATGTTTTCATCCATCCATTCATAATTTAAATTGGTCGTTGTTAGCTGCTAAGGTGAAGTTCTTCAAGTCTTGGAATATCTAGCTAACTTAAGAGAAGTTAGTACTGGATAAATGACAGAATTCTTTCAAAGTTAGCTCAGAAATTTGTTCTCATTAAGAGAAAGAGCTCGCATAAAATGATTAATACCTCAACGTCATCAAGCCCCAAAACAGCGGGTACAAAAATTTGTCGAGCCATTTAGCCTGCCCTGGCAAAGGCACTGCATGATGATAAATACCAAAATTGTAACGCCCACCATTGCGTAAGCAGTCTCTCTGCAAATACTCATCGCTTGCGAATGATGCTCTCTTCAGATCCTCAAGGAGTGGTTGGTCCCCGTATGATAAGGCCTTCGGACAACCAAAGTATTTCGTGTGGCAATTCTCCATGGACCAACAGCGTTCCATTGCACATTGTTCCATCTCGTTGACTGTAAGAAGGTACCATATAGCCCCAGCTATCTGAGAAAAACACTCATGACATGCTCAGAAACTATTCCTCTCCTGAATGATGCAATAAAAATTGATATCTGGAAGGTTTGTGCTCATGGTCCTTTTTATTTAAGAACGGCTCCTACTCTGAAATATTCAATCTCATACTTTGGTTTAGTCAGTCTTGATTTTTATGAAGTACCAATCATAAGGAGCAAGAGTTATCTTACATGGGCAGCAACAAAGTATGCTATCAGATTGAGAGCAAAGCCCCACCAAGCTGTTCCAAAGACGTAACCTGTGACATGCTGCATGCGCTTGATGAGCACAACCATGTGAATTACCCTCGGAATGTACTGAAACAAGAAGACCGCCAGAACCACTCCTAACAACACTGAAACTCGCACACCACTGGTAATGATAGCTGGTACCACTAACCAGAAGAGAAACTGCACACATGCTCGTGCACTGCTTCCAAGTTAGAACCTAGTTTGATGTCCATGGTACAGGTAAGAAGTATGTTTCGGTCAAAGTTAGAAGCAGAACCCAATACTATAAGGTTTCTGAATACAATCAGTATGTGCTAATGGCAAATTTTTCAACGAGTTCAGAAACCATTCGGGGCTGTACGATATCTAGTCACAAGAATCTGCATATGAGATACTAAAAGGAAAAATGAAGAAGCATGAATATGCAATGCTAGTGATCATTGACGAGCTTACAATGTGTCTGAGTTTAGGCCTGTGCCTGTAAAGAGATTCTAGATCAGATCATTTTTTTTTATATACTGAAAGAAAGCGAAGTAATGAAGTAGGTTCAAAAAGAAGATCTTGGTTTTAGATGCGCTCCACTACCTGCGGGATGGGAAGGATGACGAAGACATCGAACATGAAAGCCCATGTGTTGCACACATAATTTCTTGCTATTTGGCGTGCATCCCAGACCAGCAGACCTGTTCCAAGAACCAGAGATTCCTTGGAAACGTAGGCTAGTTTCAGCTGTATGTACATATGACACAGGTACATAATGTCGATGAAAGCTCGGATGATGGTGACTGTTATAGCAAAATTCTTGTTCGCATAGATGCAGGCAAGCTCCATGTGGACCGAGAGGACATACAGAAACAAAGGGTCGATGGCTGCGGCCACAAGACATGTTATCAGAAACACCCGATTCCACATCTGCACTTGCCTGGTACGAGGATCAATGACTCGACCAAAAATCCATCGACCACTCTCTTCGGTCCAACCAGGTCGACATTTGTGGGTGGTGTCTGCGAGAAAATTTTGACTCGAGGCCGAGTCTATGCTAGCTTTTCTGCTTAAACTATCATGCTGGTGACTGCAGCTTGCGCTTGTCATGTCTGGTCTCTTGCACAACCTGCAGCTACTAGAGGAAGCATCACTGAGTTCTGTGTCCGTGTGAACATCCTGATGACCTCTCATCATGTCTCTTCCTGCTTTTCCAACATCTCTGACAAATTTGTTCAGCCTGCCCTTCTTGGTTCTGGATCTGGACCTGGACTTGCGAAGGTTCCGACTCACTTGACTCAATCTGCAAAGAGAGCATCAGACGAGGGCCCTTTCAGAAATTCTGTCTCCGTTCCTACTTTTCCAGCAGTACAATAGTTTTCAACCTTTTTTTCCAGTAAGCATCACTCACAAACCCCGACTTTCAATTTCACCAACTATGCCCAACAACGTCAGGCATGCGAACGATGTCAGGTGACCACAAGCTGTCTGGGGGACCATAAGATGGAAAACACTTATTTCCTGCACACTGATAAGGAAAACATCCGATTATACGAACTAGAAGGGCATCATTTGCAAGTTCTAAAATCCTTATGTCGAAATTCGGTGGGGCATGAGAACTCATGGCTCGGGTGGACAGGAATTGCGAACCTGTAAACATCGGCATCTAAAGTGTCGATGCCAATGATTGAGTCATGGGATCCAGTAGTGGAAGAACTGATGGCCAAAGGCATCTGCGATAGATGCACGGCATAGAGAACGTGAGAAACTGGTCCAACAGCGTCACGAATTCAATGGCAGTTTAGGTTACTTATCAAAGTGTTAAGAGTGTCCCGTACAGGATTTTGCGTCGTATTCATTGAATATGATTCAAGTGTTGGCATAGCATACCTTGTAAGATTCTACGATGGGGTCGAAAGGATGAATATATGTCGTTAAGTTCAATGTATCGAGTGATTCTCCGATACCGACTCACAAGCCGCCATCGACGAGGGCTGTGAAGTTATGGCCAATTATAATCCTGGCACTAGTGTTGTAGTTCGGATTGGACTCAGATCAGCCATTCTCTTTAAAGTCCTTCAACGGCGCACACGGCGGTGTGAATTTCGTCAACGAGCATGCACATAAAGCAGTGGCATCAATCTGACCTATCATGTCTTCTCAAACCAGCGTCGAAGCCCAACTTGGAGATTCTGTTTCCAGGAACTTGTTTCCACAAAAACCGTTCAGCTCATGAGATTTCTTCTAATCTATCCCCTCATCCAAATCATTCCAAGAGCCCATGTTGCATGACTTGACCACTTTCGAATAATTGCAATCTCCGCTCGCTCAGTATCAATTTTTGCTGTTACTGTTTCTGGCTAAACAACTATGAGAGGCAAATGTCCAGGACATGTCGTCATGTGACTACTGTGATTGCCAATCGCTTTATCATGTGAGGTCATTCATAAGTCTGTTGATTTGAGATGTAGCTTGCAATCGTTGTTCATTCGATCATCCCCACGTTAACGATGTTTGAAATGGGAAGAGAGTCGGAACTGGGCACCGTCGAGAGCTGGGTCAGGACAATCTTTCGAGCATTTCGCTGTCCAGTTGGCAGCTGTGAACGGAAGAAGTGAGATGAACAAAAACACCGTAAACCACGCTGTGCAAGAAAGGCAGAAGGTCAAAGCTGTGAGATTATGCTGTGTACCCGAGGGCGAGAGTCACTCCATCATGCTGGAAGCAAATGTGGGCCAATTTGACAATGGTGGCTCAGAGGAAGTCCGATTTTGAGTCCAGGGTGAGTCGAAAAGCGGCTCACAATTGACACTTTTTTCTCGGACTGGAACTGACACAGGGCTTGCGGAAGAATTGCCCACCGAATGCACCGCATGCTCGCTGCATCGTCCAGCGCTCCAGGCAGAAGCAGAGCCTGTGAATCTGCCATCCGCGTACACTTTCATGCACGCGAGCAAAAGTGTCGTGCCTGTCCACGTACACGGATTTTCTGCAAATTATTGTTGCACTTTTTCTACATTCAAAACCGAACCCTGGTTAAACTCATACGACAACGCCCGATGCGTATATGGAATAAGATTTTTTGTTATAGTAACCAATTGCTTCACCATTCAAGTTTTAAGCAAAGTAAATAAATTTGATGATTTTAGTTTTCTTTTTGAACTAAATAAGAGCAGTATTTGAAATCAAATTAGAAATAATTTAAATTAACAAGTTGATTTTGAATGCTGATTTTGAATGAAAAAGTAATTTACTTTGACTTCTTTAGACATGAACTGCTAATTACACCTATGTCCGAACACTTCTGGAAATATCTTCTTTAACTTGTTCGGTTCTGATGCATTATTATTATTATTATTATTTACTTTTTAAGGTATCTTTGAATTTGAATATTTATATTTTAATAAAAAATGTCATAAATTTTCCAATAATTTATTTTTTATCAGTTTCAATTGAACTGATAATATAATATAAACATTATTTCTACTTTCGTGAATTACGTACTTGAAAATATAAATTTAGAGATAAATTCCATTGTAACCTCTACAATATACCCCAAAATTATTCAAAAGAAACTAGAATAATTTGGATGTGCAACGATGTTAAAGTTAATGATCTGAACATAGCTAGAAGAAATAAAACTTACTGCAAAATATGAATAGTCTAAAATATGAATATTCTATTCATTGCATTTTAATAAATCATATACTTGACAGATTGAGATGAACTGAAAGTTTACATTTTTCATTCTAAACCCTTGGGATTCAGCCCCTTTTTTTTCACAAAATATTATAATCCGTATACACTTAAAATTTGAAAATTATACATTTTATTTTCCAATAATTTGTTGTTCAATTAAATAATTCATTAAAGTGTTTTGACATATAAATATTTTTTTAACATAACCATGAATATTTTGATGCAATTAGTGTTTCATCCATAGTTTTCAAAATTGAAGTAAGTTTTTTGTTTAAAACATACATTTTAAATTTATGCATTTATTTTTAAGCTGAACTTTTAGAAATAAGATTTTACCATTTCTGATATCCAATATCATATAGAAAACTTCATATTTTCTTTTATTTTTGACATAGTTAAATTTTATTTGGAATTTTATTCGCAGTTACTACTGCAAATAAACTTATGATTTGTAATTGAACACCATGATAATAATTCAACGTTGTGTCAAAAGTAATATGTTCAGTTTGAAATGAAAAATTTCAGAACATAGTCCAACATATGTTTATAAATTTATGCTTCAATATTTCAAATATCGTTCTGAGATTAAATGATTGTGGTGTATAGTATCAAAAAATCTTAGTTTAATATCTTAAATCGAAAGATTTTAATTTATCATTTGAAAATTAAAATTCAAATATGAACTTTTCAACCTTAAAGCTTGCAATTATGAAATGATAGCTGAACATAATATTATGGGAATTTTCAAGAACAATATCATGGAAAATTTTGGAAAATTTAAGAGCAACTTTGAGCTATTATATAATTATATGTATTTAAATTCATTTATTTAGAAGGAAAATTTAGCTTTAATGCATTGAGGTCCGGCAGAGGTGATTACTAACCGATACTAAATTCGGAAAACTGAATGCACGTATATTAGAACTTTATTTCTGACACAAGTTATTTCAATCAAGAAATATGAAAAAAAATTTGATTTTCAAATAAATTTTTATTTAAGGTTATATTCAAATATAGAGAAAGTATGTGAAAGTTAAAGGGACATACTAGAAGCGGAGTATAACCATTATTTTATATAAATATATAAATAGAAAAAAAAAGGTGAAAATATACTGGGATAAATGGAGTTTTGATTTACTTGGTATGACTTGTAGTCTAACATGAGAAGTGTATATTTTACCTCGACAAAAGTGCACTTGAAGTTGAAGTGAATGAGATAGCAAGTGGGATACGTTGTAGGTTGGTGAATAATATCAATCCCTTAACCTAGAGAATGAGGAATTCTGATGTTTAAAGCTAGTACGGTCTAGCCGCATCCTCCGCTTTCGAGTTTCATCCTATCAAGGAGTTGATGGGGTCTTATTATCTTGTTTGCACAAATACTTGGTGCTCCTCTTATAATAGTTAAAGATAGAAATAGTCCATATCGCTTTCTATCTTCCAACGGAAAAAATCTATTGGTGACAAGTCCTTTGGGAAGAGATGAAGGGGCCCATTCCAATCGTCTGCTAACTGTTCCACCTAACCGATCCAATCCTGAAGAAGTCTTGGACCAGGACTGAAGGCGACGGATCCTCACCAAGTGGACCCCTCCCTACCGTCAGATCCAACCTTCATCAAACCCTAAATCCAACCTCTTTGAGAAACTTGGCAACTCCCACGCAGGGCCAGGAAGCCTTAATCCGGGTGTATAAGTCTCTGGTACTTCGAAAGGTGTGAACGGGCTGCCGATCACACCATTCGATCACAAGGGGGTTGACATGACCCACGAGGACTCACTAAGCGTGAGAGCTCCTCGGGGTTTCCCTCTGAGCTTTGGACCCGAGAACCCGAACTATCTCTGTCGTAGTGGCGAATTGCAGGATCCTTCGGTAGTGCTCGTGTGAACGCCCGGCGTTCACGAGATATCGAAGAGGGCTTTCTCGAAGCGGTGATCCGAGATTTTCAATGTAGGTTTTTTTTTAACGGCCTTACAGTTTTCGCTTTCACACCGTCCGCGTTATAGTGGCGCTCGGTTTATCTCTGTCTGATACTTGCTGCGAGGTTCGAGTTTCCCAGCTGCTGGGCTTCTCAGCGTGTTGACCGACTGAATGGCTGGGCTGATTATCGTGATAGAATTCTCGGTCAGATCAGATGGTGCAGGTAGAAGAGGGGTGTCGATGTTACCAGCATAAATCGCTGCCCTCGTAGAAAACATAGAGATTCAGTGACCACCGACGCGACGGCGGCCTATTAGAGTCACTTCTGTGCCCTTGCAAATGGCATAAAAAGTGCTAGAGGTCGCCAAGACCGAACTGGGTAATACCAGATGGTGATTGGCTTCACTTCGTTGCCCTCTCCATTTGGGCAGTGAATTTTCTGATCTAACAATCGTTCTGATCTAGCCAAAACCAGTAGAGCTGATGCAAACATCACACCAGTGCAAATGATGAACAACATTGATCCAACGCCTAATTTCATTGCGGATTCACTAAGAGCTTTTTAAATCTGATGCACTGGTCAACCCTAGCCTCACAATGAGCCGAAGACTACAAGCAACCTATCAAACTCCTACGAACGATAGTATACCTAAACTTTGCTAAGCATAAAAAGTAGTGCTATAGGACAATTGACTTAAGCTACGTCACAGGTGCAGATGATGTGACAACTTTCTAGAGTCCTATGCTCCCTGAGGATTGAAAATCGAGCTTTTTAAAACTGATGCACCGACAGTAACGTACCTACCAGGGAACAAACCAGGAGCTCTGATGAAAATATCGATTAAGTTGTTCTCATCGTGAAATCATTGATGCAACCAATGTGAAACCGTGAGCGAACGAAAAGTCGAGAATTGGTATACGGTTAACTTTGAATAGATTCATCCAGATACTACAGGTTATGGTCAGCGTGCAGACTACTTCCACGTCACCTCGTCACCCACCGCAACGATAAACTCTGACCAAAGTGCAGAAAATTTGGCGAAGTGCTGAAAATCTGACCAATTGGACTCTGTGCATTTCTTCGCTCAACCGTGTGCCGCGTAGCGCGTGGATGACTTATGATCTGCATAATCAAGGGGGCGCTTGTGCATGAAAGTCAACCTGAAAGAACCAGTTTCTCGGTCGGGACGTGCACTGCCACTCAACTTAACTCGATACTAGCGGGCAGCTACGGCACGGAAGTGTCACACTCAAACCCGCGCGAATTTGAGCCGTGTTCTTTTGAAAAAGCTGAGGTTCTCTTCTCTTATCACCCACTTTCACGAATATGCCGATCGAAGTCCAATTCTCGTTTAACGCGCCTAGTACCTGTAGGCGCTTTGGAAGGGACAATGTATGATATATCTCGCGGACGGTACAATTACTTTCATGATGGGAGGAAAAGTAAACGATCCAAACCGTCACCACCTAACCGAAGGTGACGACCAAGACCAGCAGCCCCATCCAATATTTAATCTATTTCTTTCACCCCGAGTTCGGGCGTATAATGAATGGCACGTTCAAATTCAACGCAGAGACATACAATCAACCAACGCCTCACACCTAGCACTCGAAAAGACGATGTTGGTACTGGGCAGAGTGTCCTGCCTGTCGCACATTATTGCATGCACAATCTAGCAGCCGGCGACGGAGGAGTTTCGACGAGAAACAAGGCAAGGGGGGCAGAGTCCTTGAAGGCGTTCGACCACGACTCCATGACACGAGACTGCAACTGGGGGCACGATGCACGACCAACCTATTCCTCGGGAACTGAAATCAAGATATACCATCAGCAAGTGAACTTTCTGAAGTGCGAGAATATGAATTTGATGAACTCTGTTTATGAACATATCTTGATTTGGACGCCCTTTCCCCGAAGCAAAGCTCGGCCTTCCCACTGACAGGGGTGGGGGAGAGGGCATCGAGCTAGAAAGAAAGGTCCTCGCATCGCAGGACTCCGGAACCCAGGAAGTCTGCAGTCCTAGTGCAGCAAATGAAATTTTCTTCATAGGCAGCGATTTGTGGCGGGGGGAGGGAGGAAGTAGGCGTTGCTGCTAAGCCAACTACTAAAAACGCTCGTCTACTGCAAACCTCAAACTACACTGCATCTAAGTCGGTGCGTCATCCTGGTCCTAGCAACAACTTCTACATCGAGTTCGCCCATGCAGCCCTTCGTACGTAACATGGAAAAACTCCTCCGAAAAATTTGTGAAGTACTAACAAGGCTTCCTGTCAACGAGTAAGATGATGATGATCCGAGCATTGGGAACATGTGAATAGGACTCGGTCGGCAGACATCTACGTGAAGTGGATTGATGGCTTTGCGGGCTGGACACTACGACCAGCTAGCTACACTGTGTCTATGGAAACAGGGCTCGACACACTACGCTGAGTTGAGATCCGTGACCTCTTCAGGTTGAGAGGCCTCGAGGTGGGGCATTCTGTGGGGGGCCTCTTCCTTGTCATTGGCCTCTTTGCCGTCCACCTCCGCCTTCTCGTGCTTGCCATTGGTGTTGTTCTCCTCCTCTATGACGCCGATATCATCCGCTTCGTCGCCTCCGAGTTGCCAAGCCGGCTCCTCCGCCGCCTCGACATCATCCACAGGCTTCTCGGGGGCCTCGGACTTTTGCCTCTTCCTGCTTCCATTCTGTTCGCCGTCCTCGGCGTGGTGGCCGTTCAGTTGCTCTTCCTCATCCTCCTGCTGATCTCCCGAGGCGGCGTCATGGCCGGCGTCCGCCCTCGGCTTCTCTTCATCTCCATCTTCCGCATGCACTTCCTCTTCCTCATCGTCCTCCTCTGCTCCGTTCTCGTGAGTCCTGTCCTCTTCATTGTCGTGCTCTTCATCGTCAATCTTCTCGAGAGTCTCCGGGTTCCGAATAGCCATCTTGCCAGACTTGTCGCTCTTGATTTTGTACCTGGGCTCGTCGACGGATGCCTGGAACTTCTTGGTGCCAAGCTTCGCGGGCTCGGTGAGCTTCTCCACTATATAGCCAGTGGCCTTTCCTGCACCATACTTCCACGATACGTGGTCCCCCTTCTCGAACTCGGGCTTCATTTGAGCTTGAGCCATCTCTCTCTGCACGTCCGGCTCTTTATCGTGCGCGAAGTGCTCGTGCGCTCAAGTCGAGTCTTCGCTTTCTATCACAATCGAAACTCCTCCACAGACCCCGGGTCGCTTCTTCGCCTCTCCTTATAGCTCGACCGTGCCTGCATACGAGCACCTTGCAATATCAGACCACGAGAGCTCTTCTGCCTACACGAAATTAACCACCACGTCTCAAAAGCTGCAAAGTCTTTGACCCCACCTCGCAAAGCAAAGCGGTCAAAAGGTACCCGAGTCATAATAAGTATCGCCGAGCGCCCCCCGCAGACATGTAATCAGCGGGGCGAAGGGCCCCGAGCCACAGCGCTCGTCGCGATCAAGAACACCCAAGAAACTTCGTAACCCCTCCCTCCCTCCCTCCCTCAAGCAAACAAGCGAAAACTTCAAGCCCCGCATTTCGATGTCTCACAAATGATTGAAAGTCAACTCTACGGCTCTAGGCTCCAGAAAGAGTACAACCGCACAAACGAAAACAATCCATGAGCCGGTGGGTGTCTAGACTCAGCTACAGCCTCCCCCTCGCACTTTACTCCATGGCCCCACAGCAGAACGAACGCGCACGTTGCGCAATGCGAACTTCCACAAATGCTCGACATGCCTCATGGGATTGATTAGTTATAAGCCTCGGCGCGGCCGGAGAATTGAGGAATCACTCACCAACTCCCGTGCAAGCCTTCGCCTTCGGACAAGGCTTGAGGTTTATGACCGCGGACTCACCACTCACATGGCTCAGGACCCACAGACCCACTCCATACGCTTCGACATCGATACCGTGCATGAACCCGCCAGAGCCCAATCAGACAACTGGCGCAAACGAACGAACGAACGCTGCGACTGCAGATGTCTCAGAGCGACTCGCGTGCCCCGAAAACACACATTCTACTGTCACTCACTCTCGCCCTCTCCTTTCTCGCGGCCTCTCTCTCTCTCTCTCTCTCTCTCTCTCTCTCTCTCTCTCTCTCTCTCTCTCTCTCTCTCTCTCTCTCTCGCCACCCCCCGCACGGTCCCACAGAAAAGCCGCGGCCGGTCCTAGACTCGACTATGGCTCGACACCACAAATGCCCCGACGACGAACAGAGGTCCAGCCAGGTCTGAACCGCACGACGAACTCACCTTACAAGAGAGAGCTGCACTCAGCACAGCATCGCACGGGTCTTGCTTCTTCTCTCTCGGCGGCTCTCGCTCTCTTCTTCCCTTCCAGTCCTTCCTTCGTTTCCTCTGTCTCTCTCTCCGTTGAACAACAGCTCAGACTAACGACAGCTCCACAGCATCAGCAGCAGCAGCGGCAGCACACAGCGGCTCGTCTGATCAATAACTAACAAGAATCACGAGAACCGCCGCTCGTCTGCCGCACGTACTTATATATAAAAGTGTCGAGCAACGGGCGCGCTAAACGACGACGATGATCACACGAGAGCGAGAGCGAGAGAGAGCGCGGGCGATGGATGTCTTGGGCTCGCAGTCGCAGTCAGACGCGGATATTCGTAAACAATGGCAACTCGATCGATCGGAGGTTTTGGTCAAATCGGAGCTGCGCCTCGTTAGAGTTAAGGCAAGCTCGGGAGGAATTATTTTGATGCCACTCGATGCATGCGCGCCACCTGTCCCGCCTCCACTTGGCAGGATCGCGGGCCGACACGGCGGAACGACGACCCGGCCGACGAGCAACCGGATCGATCCCTCGGCTCGGTAACTCGGATCCTCGCCACGCAACGGTGCGCTCGTACGTACGCCTCCCAAGCACGTGAACCGAGTGGATTAAATTATTGGTCGCTTAGCTCTAAGTACGCTCTAAGTACGCTTGTGTAACAGCCTCCGCTTCGCGTCGTTAATCACGATGCTGCTGCGTACTTGGCGAGCCCTGAGCAAGTGGCTTCGCGACTGACTAATCATCCGCTGATATCTGTCGCTCTCGGTCTCGGGGTTCGCGACTTGTGGCCTGCGAGTCCTGCGCATTTGCTGTTGTTGTTGTTGTTGTTCGCAGGTCTAGCCATCGCGATCGGCTTTGACCTAGTCTACTCCCGAGGCCGGAGTTTGTGTTGCGCTTTTTCCAATCTAGACCAGATTGAATTATGGATATGGAAGGTGATGGAGCATGATGCCATTGTGCGTGAATCTAATTCACCGTGTTCACCGACAATTCTGATGGTGCTCGTGTTCATGCAGGTCCTGCGATGTGGAGCATAAAAGCTACTCTAGCATTGTCCGAAAGCCATTAACTGGCTCCGCGCAGTACTGCCGAGGTGAATTTGCGCCCAGTTCTATTCATGCCCACGCTTACTTTCCCCAGTCCGATGCTCCTGAGTGGATAACTGAATAAAGCAATTGTTTGTTTATGATTTTTTCATTGGTCCGTTTCACATCCAATACCCTTTTGGGCGTAATGGTTTTCACCACGCGGTGATTCAGTGAAAGATCTGCGCATAAAAAAATCCATTATGACCAGAATCAAAAGGAAGTGTATGATTGAGGCCTTTATCAAAACTTGTTCGGATTATTTTACCCGTTTATAATCCAGAATATTATATATGCACAAAGATTTTTCTTATGCCTAAGAAGTGAAGAAACAAAACCTGGTCCTCGTCTCCAGGAAATAGGCGTGATCGGAACGGAAGAAAACTAATAACAAATTTGTCTCCCCAAGCCTATGATGGTACATGTCCATATAACTTCTCTACATGTGGTATCCACTTTGATGGGTCATCATGTTGTTGGTAGCTCTCTTTTTCTTGTACATTAAATAGCCACGTAATACCTTCCAGCAAGTAGGTATGTTGAAATTATTCAGCCCATGATATTCGAATTTTATAGTACATTTGACTACAGTAGTCTACATTTGACTTCTCTATGGATGAATCGTCTGTGGAATTCTTCAAGGTCAATACTATATTTCATAGGTGCCAAAGTCTATCGAGACACATCTTGGTGTAGTAGAGAAAGACTTGCTGAACTGTATCACTACGGGCTCGTTAAGCAAGTTACTCACTAGTATTAATCAGCTCCGTGAGGAGCGCATCGTGCCTAAATCTACTGCTTACGCTGCTACTGAAAAAGAGTTCCACGCCACATCCTGTATCTGCTCGAGTGGACCGCCTCGTATTTTGGCTCATCATATGAGCATGAAAAAGCCATTCCGAGGGGTGAGAAGAGAGACCTAGTACCTTGCATTGCTCATCATTGGGCCATATAGATTCATTTCTCTTGATGGTGCTGTCTACCAACCATGTCGTGTATGTATCTTTTAATGTAAAACTTTGCATGCTTTTTTAGACTTACGTGAATAATATAGACAAATATTATGATCAGATTAATTGAAATGAACATATTCTATGTAGAACGAGAGCTTTTGGTCTATATTCTTTCTACATTACACGGCTAAGATTTTGTGTCAAATAAAATGAAGAAGCTTATAAAACCAGTTAGCAAAATTTTGATTTATCTTGGATCAAGACTTTATTGAATGTGTGATTCACAAACATTTCATATATGTTAAATAAAGAAGTATTGATACAATTATTGTCTTTGTGGTGGATCGTTCTACTCATTTGTAAGATGATCTATGTACACGATACACTTTCATATATACTCATACTTTCAAAATGTAATGAAGTAATAATATACATGTTATTCTTGATACCCTGCATTATTTCTTTGACATACAATATACAAGTCGAAAAAATTTCTTTTGCTTATTTGAGATTGAAAGATTCAATTTTAAACCTCAAAAAATGAAATAAATCATAACTTTAAGATTGAATAAAAGATTGGATTTCAATTTCATGATACTATGTTCTACTTATTGATTTCTTTTAATTATCATTTGTACTTGTAATGCTAGTATTTAATATCTATATAGTATCAATGTACATTTGATAGGATTGAAATATACTAAAAACTACTTAAATTCCATTCTCATGAATCTTGCAAATGCATAAACAAGACAAAAAATGACTACAGTATAAAATATAATATAAGTCAACTGATTAAAATTCATTAAGTCTTGATCATCAGTTGAAATTTGCTCAGGATTGCTCCTCATATTTAACTCTTTTATCAGGTTTTATTGCTTGAATTTTCTTTGATTCATACTGATATGCGTTTTATATTAATAAATAGTATCTAATGTAACATTTGTTATTACATTTGTATCTCATATGACTACTTGTGAATCGTAAATCAATATAATTAATTTTACTAAATATTGAGAGATTAAAAAAAATACATTCCATTTTCAAAACCAAATGATGCACACATTTTCAAATTAATGTACTGTTAATTTTTCTGATGCTAGTATTAATCAAATTTCTTGAATTTGAAAGTTAATAAATCTAAATTGCAAATCTAAATGCATACTATGTTATATTGTCAATGAATTTGAAATAAATGAGATATATATTATTATATTTTTAATAGATTTGTACGTAGTTTGATTTCCATAAAGAATTTTTTATCACCCAAAAATGAAAAAAGTAAAAAACAATTTCTTTTTTCACTTTATGGTTGTAATTACTAATTTATAGATAACATATTTTTAGTTACATAATTGTCAGACAAGTCATCTGATCTCTTACATTGCATTTTATTTTAACACTTTAGTTTACATGAATAAAGAAAATGTTTGTTATTTGCACTATTATGAAAGTTAATCTCAATTGAATAAGAATAATCAACAAATACAATTTTTTACGTAATGTTATGAGATAATAAACTATGAAACAAACTTATTTTCTTTCTTTCTTTCACATCTTGAATTATGCCATCGTAATAAATATGCATCTTTTTGAAATAATTTTTCTTTTTAAGTAGTGAAGTTATTGATGACAAAAAGAACACGACAAACCACCTACAATTCATTTTGTATCTTCTCTCATTTGCAAATCACAATTTCTTGACATCCAAACTCATATGAAACAGCAATATACACTTTTTAACGTTAATCATGATTTATTTTACTGATCTTTTGGATAGTTTAACTATGTTGAAAAAGTTACATGACATGAGAAGAAATATGTTGAAAAATAAAATTGATAAAAAATTATCATCTGAAAAGTTGATGAATCTTGAAATGATTTTTTTTGCAATCTTGAACGAAATAATTTATTTCTAAATTTTTTATAACAATATAAGAAAAAGGATAAGGATTCACCAAGGTTATTTTACAATGTTCTAAAAGCTATACTTCATCCTAAGCTTTTCTCCCCTCGCTGATGAAAAACAAGAATGACATCCATGTCTCCCAAAAATGAGTCTCATTTTCTACTCCATGGATTCGAAATTGATGAGGATGTTTAGAAACTATTATTCTAGATCTGCACACTATTAGTGATATTTATAAACTTTATCACCTCATAACTTTAAGTCATCGTCAAACTACAACTGTTTTAACTGGAAACTGCTTACAGCTCATAAATACTTAAAAAATGCATTTGCTCTTTTATCTTCTGGGAGATGAAGGGAACTGTGACCTGCCACTATACAGTAACTCGTTTCTTTAACTTGAGATCCGAACTACGTAATTGTGCATGTGGCCGTTTGAACAACCCCGGGTGCGACTGCATGGCTTGACGGTCCTTGACTTTATCCCCTTCCTATTCAACGTGTCATTTCACATCCCAGGATTAAATCTCTGAGTAAATTCAGTGAGCTTAGGACTGGATTATGACAGACAAGGTACTGTACTGATTGAGCATATCCGGATCGGAGTATGCAGACAATCGTGATTAAACTCTCGTATCAAGACAAATAAGAATAGCCGTACAAAAAAAGGCAGAACGAATTCATAATGTTTCTTCGGAAAGCCATGAAGGGAAGGCCATGCCAGACGAGTGGCATGTAGAAGACTCATCAAGGACGTGGATGTGTGAGAAAAACTAGGCAATGTGTTCAACTAGGATAAATCAGCCTAGGATGTACGGCTGATTTTATCACCCACTAAAATATTTGTTAACAAAATTTACAAAAAAGTCCACAGTAGACATTTTTTTATCAAAATAATTTAAAATAAATCATAAACTGTATTTATTTGATTGAATACAATCATATTGTCAACGTTATTAGCATTTAGATTTATCCTCAAGTTCCACGATTACAAAAAGTAAACTTTTTAGAAAGAAATAGATAAAAATATATTTAGACATTACGTAAATCTAAAAATGCAATGTTTTGGGTGATGATATGAAAGATTTCATAAATATTCATCACACTAGGGACGAATAAATTCATTCAAAGTATTCGTTAACTTCTTTAAATTTGAATAATATGCTACGTTTATCTCCAGATCAGAATCTTGGAAACAATCAAATATTCAAATAGAAATAATCTATCTTAAAAAATTATTTTATACCCATTCAAAATTCAAATAAATATAAATATATGAAAATCTTCAAGACATAGTTTATTAAATTTATCTGATGTTATTGTATCTAAAGCAAGGAATTTACAAATCAATATGTGTATTTATGTATGTGAATATCATATAAACTAAATGAA